TACCTTTTAGTGGATGAAATAGAGAATCAGCAAATTAGGAAGATATAACTATCTTAGATGGGATAAGTACTGAGGAAAAGCAATGAAGAAGAGCAAGAGGATATAAAAAGAGGCTGGGGAACCTAACTGACAAAGTGACTTTTATAGAGATCTGACAGAAGTAGGACACAATAAATAAAAACTGTTGTTCATTTTTGTTGCCTCCCTGCCTTCCCCCAGTGCTGGGAGTCTATCCCAGGGCCTTACACATTCTAGATAATTGTTGTACACTGAGCTACACCCTCAGCCTGCAGCCTGTCTTTAAGTACTTATGACAATGTTCAGATTCTTACTTTAAAAAAAAACAGTCCTCTCAGGTTGAGTTTACATAAGTCTTTAGAAAAATATCTTTGTTTTTTAAACTTCTTGCTCAGGTACTTGTTTTGGCTCCAACAAGGGAATTGGCAAACCAAGTAGCCAAAGATTTCAAAGATATAACTAGAAAACTCAGCGTGGCATGCTTTTATGGTGGAACATCGTATCAAAGCCAAAGTGAGTACATATGTATGTATGATAGCACAAAGATGTTTTCCTACTTAACTCTAAAGAATAATGTGAAAATGTATACTTGGTTTTTACATCTTCCTGGCATTTCTCTTCTCTCACAGTTAATCATATTCGAAATGGTATTGACATCTTGGTTGGGACCCCTGGTCGTATCAAAGACCATCTGCAAAGTGGCCGTTTGGATCTTTCTAAACTGCGTCATGTTGTACTTGATGAAGTGGATCAAATGTTAGATTTAGGCTTTGCCGAACAAGTTGAAGATATTATCCACGAATCCTACAAAACTGGTATATCCTAATTGAAATAAGCACATCAGCAATTATTCTTTGATCTCAAAAGCTTTGAATTTTTTATTTCATATTTTCAATTACATTGTCCCCTGGTGTTCTAACAAAACTAAAGATATTTGGCATCTGTTCTTTCCCTACAAAAGAAAGTACAATAGCATACTTTAAATATTTTCTTGGCTTTCTGTGCATTCTTCCATGTATTATTTTTTATAGTCAGTCAGATTTACTAACTCATTTTACGGATTCCTTTGTTCATTGTTCATTCTTAAATTCTCACTTTTCTTCTGAGTTCAGTTTTCTTCATATTGACCCCAGTTTTGAAAGTTGAAAGTTTTAATAGTTGCAATAAAGTCTGTATATTAAAATATCACCCTCAGTTTTGAATTTTCCATTATTTCTTTGAAGCTCAGGGTGATTTTTAAGAGCTGGCTACATCATGAGATATTAAGAAAACATTTGAATTTTTTTTGTTTATTTAAGATTCTGAAGACAATCCTCAGACTTTACTTTTTTCTGCAACTTGCCCACAGTGGGTATACAAAGTTGCAAAAAAATACATGAAATCCAGATATGAACAGGTTGACCTTGTTGGAAAAATGACTCAAAAGGCTGCAACTACTGTGGAAGTAAGTAGCTTTCCAGCATGATAGATTTTAGCTTTTAGTTGGTATTTATTTTTGAAATTTGTTGAATCTAAACTCAAGATTTCGGTACCTAATGAGGCCTTAAGCTCTCTTTTCTACCCTTAATAAATAAAATATATATGTGTTTCTATAACCTGAAACTGAGGAGCAGAATAGAATAAATAGGAAAATAAAGTATGTGATCAGACAAGTCCTAAGGGAAGGACCTATGAGCAGCCATACACTGAAAGTATTTAGAATGTGACAGAAGGGAGTTCATACCGACTGGAGAAGAATAGTGCTGAAATAATTTTAAGTTTAGCAGAAGAAAATCAGATTCTCATCTCATACTCTATGCTAAAAATGGTGCTGAAAGACTTAGTAAAAAACAGGTGAATAGTTATTTGATCTCAGGAAAGGGAAGGCTTTCTAAACAATAGAACTTAGAAGAAGAAACTAAGGGTGATAGTGTGACTCCATGAAAATTAAACCAAGTGTATGTTTAAAAACAATTAAAAGTAATATTTATAGTACTTAAGACTGTCAGGTTTGTACCATCTATGTTACTTTTTCCATTTATATATATATATATATATATATATATATATATATATATATATGTAGGAAACAATAGGATATAAATGAGTAATAGTATAACATACGGAATATAATGCAGTGCTTAAAAAGAATGAATTTGGGCTGGGGGAGTGGCTCAAAGTGGTAGAGTGCCTGCCTAGCTAGTGTGAGGCTCTGAGTTCAAACCTCAGTACCACAAAAAAAAAAAAAAAAGTGATTAAAAACCAAATCACATGAGTTTGATTCCCAGCACTATGAAAAACAAAAAATGAAAACAGTTACAGAATATGTACAATCCTCAGCACTGCAGCAAACAAAAATCCATATATAATGCTACATGGATTCTTTAGTATTTATATAAATGTACAAAAGTAGGTCCAAGGAACAATATCAAATAATGATGTGAAACTGGGAAACAGGACAAATATAGTGCAGGATAGTCACAGGAAGCTTTATATATTTTGTAATGGTTAAAAATGTAAAATATACTAGTGAAAGCTAGTTATTAAAGACATTTCAAAAGTTGAGTAGCATAGGGAATCTGATGTAGCAGGCTTCAGCGATGACGTTTTCTGTGCCCTGATACATTCTTCACCCCTGCATTTGGATTATCCCAGTCATTTCGTCCTCATTTAATTGTACATATTTCTTCCCTTTCCTCCTCCCTCAAATAATGCAGATGTTGTTACAGCTTGAGCCACTCCACCAGTCCTAGAGTGTCACTTACTGCCCAGCCCAGCCCTGCCCTTCCTATTTTATGCTTCCCACCATCACTGGGATGACAGGTGTACGCCACCACACCCAGCTTTTTTCCATTGATACCGGCTCTCTCAGACTTTTTTGCCCTAACTGGTCTGTAACTATGATCCTCCCTATTTCAAATGCGGGATGATAAGCATTTGCCATTGTGCCCAGCTATTTTGTTGAGATGGAGTTTACGGAGCTTTGTTTTCTTTTGATCCAGGCTGGCCTTAAACCAAATCCTCCCAATCTCAGCCTCCCAAGTTGAGCCACCTGTACCTGGATAATTGTATATATTTATAAAGGATAAGTAGGGACTCTTGAAAAGAAACAAAAGTCAAAAAATCCATACTCATTTTCACAATAGAAGGAAAATATCACTTTTTTTTTTTTGGTGCTGGGTATTGAACCTAGGGCAGATTTGTTTTCTGTCACTGAGATATATCATTAATCCCACAGTAATTATTTAATATCATAAATATCTAGTATGCACATTACTATAGTTATCTTTTTAATTTTAAAATAAAATTTGAATCCAGTTTGGATCCAGTTTGAATCTGGATCCAAATAAAATCCTTACATTGCCAATAGTTCATGAGAGTCCTAAATCACTTTACAATCTGTAGGTTTCTCTGACTTTTTCTTTGCCCTTTTTGTTGGAAAACACTCATCATTTATCTTAGGAATTTCCTACAGCCTTAATTTTGCAGATTTGCATTCCTGTGGTGTTACATAACATGGTTCTCTGTCTTCATTTTTCTTTGAATTGACCTTTAGACTATGGGGCATGATCAGATTCAGATTCTTTTTCTTTGAGGCGGAGAAGAGCAAGACTTTGTCATAGTGATACAAATGATTTTTAATTTTCTTCTTTTTGCTTTCCTTTGCTTTTTAGATAGACTATAATTAATGTGTCATGTTTATTTAAAAAACAGTTTCATTGGGATATATGTTAAAATGCCGTATATAAAATGTGCAGTATGGGACTTGGGTTTGAACTCAGGGCTTCACACTTGTAAAGTAGTTGCTTTCCACTAGAGCCACACCTCCAGTCCATTTTGCTATTTTTTTTTTTTCCTTCACATGTTTATTTTGTGTTGTACATTCTTACAGAACTGGGATCATTTTTCCAGTTTTGTAGAAAAATAGATGTTCCAACCACCAAATACTTAACTGATTAGTCTTTAAGACCAATCAGTGTGTTTCCTGGGAAGATAAGTCTCATGATTTAACTCATTTTTAAAAAATTTTTTAAGACAAAGGAAAAAAAATTTTTTCACTCCCAGTATTTCAACAGCAGTAGCCAACATGGTTTGTCTTTTTTTTTTTTTTTTTTTAATTAATTGATTAATTTTTGAACTCAGGGCATCATACTTGCTTGCTAGGCAGACACTCGACCATTTGAGCTACTCTACCAGCCCTGTTTTGTGATGGGGTTTTTCAAGATAGGGTCTTCAGAACTATCTGCTGGGCTGGCTGTGAACCTCGATCCTACTGCTCTCTTTGCCACTGGTGCCTGGCTCAACATGAGGTTTTAGCAGCTTAACTTTATTCCCTAAATATTTTGTTTAAGCCAGAGATTTTACTACCAAAAACACTGTCCTTGAAAGTGAAAAATGGCAGTCAGACATCACAATGCAGAGTACTGACTACTTATGATCACGGCATGCAGGCAGACATCAATGCAAAATTTGAAATGAGTAGGTCATAAACATGGCTCTTACAAAATGTAGCATATTAAGAATATTCCACTTAAGGAGTCTTTACTCCCGTTTTCTACATGGGAAATGGGAAGTGTTTCTCTCTTTTTTCCCCCCACTTCTCCCTACTTTATCCTGATAAACTATACTAAAATGATCCTTACTAAAAGTTAAAAAAAAAAAAAAAACAATATTCCACTTAAATGGTTACTTTTTTGTCCTTCCTTTATCCCTTCAAAAACAAAGAAAGAGGAAACACGTCCCTAAAAATTTTCCTTAAATGTAAGTTTATAAGATTTCTGAAATGCCTTGTACCTAAAACAAATGCTTTCAAAAAAAAAAAGCTAAAAACTCTTACAATATATATATATGAATTGAATATATATATTATATATATGTATGTATGTATGTATGTATTTATAACATCTAAGACCATAAGAGTTCTTATATTCAGTAGCTCTTTGGTTTAAGATGACCTCCATCTCCCTCACTTAACCAAATGCTTTCTGCTCCTTGAAGGACAAAGGTTTCTGAATTGTTTGGAAATTATTTCAGCCTGAAAACACTCTCTACAAATCTCTCCAGCACAGAATTTGAATATGGGGCATCCAATATTAATTCTCTCACAACCCCTTTTCATTTGGTCTACAGTAAATGGTAGAAGACTTCCAAAGAGATTGTAATAAATCCAAAATTATCTTGAATGCACTTTCTTCACTTGACTCTGAAACCATGACAGTAGCTTCCTAAACAAGCTAATGATGAAAATGAGTTTTCAGTTCCTTAAGGTTCAGCTTCAGCTATGTCTCCGAAGAGTAAATACTCTTTCAGTAACATATCAATCTCTTTAACAAGGTAATTGACAGTGCTACCCACCTCCAATTGCTCTGGTTATTTTGGAGATGGGATCTTCTGAACTATTTGCCCAGGCTGGCCTCAAATCTCAGCCTCCTACTAGCTAGAATTATAGGTGTGAGCCAGCAGCACTTACCTTTCTTTATCATGTATCTAGCCATTCCTATATATATCTTTTAAATTTTATTTTAGTTATTGTTTTTAGTGCTAAAGATAAAACCCATGGTCTGCAGATGCAATGCATATTCCTTACCGCTGTACTCCCAGCCCCATGTTTTTTGATTCATTTAAAATTGTAGAAATCAGTGTACTTCCTCGTAAGTGTTTTTAGCATGTCTATCTTTAACTAGAGCATAAATGTAATTCATCCCCATTGATTATGGGGATGAATTGCTGAAGAAAAATTCATATAACTAAAACTGTAAACATTTTACCTGATTGTGTGTATGTAGTGTGTGTTCCTGGGGATTTTACCCATGACTTCACAATATGCTAGGCAAGTGCTCTACTACTGAGCTATGTAGCCCAGCCCTTAAAACTATAAATACTTTAATGTGTATAATTCAGTATCATCTAGTACATTCATAATATACACCCACACTTCTATCTATTTCTAAAACACTATTTCCTAAAAGGAAACCCTATAACCATTAATCATGTATTCTCCCTTCCCTCCTTTCCCAAGCTCTTAGTAACCACCAGTCTTATTTCTGGTTTTATGGAAGTACCTGCTCTAGATAGTCCATAGAAATTTAACTGTACATCATGAGAGTTTTTGTGTCTGGCTTCCTTTCCTTAGCGTGTTTTTGAACTTCATCAGTACAATATTTACCCTTTTTTCTTTGGCCTTAGTGGGGTTTGAACTCAGGACCTCTCTTGCTAGGCAGGCATTCTACCACTTGAGCCATACCCCCAGCCCTGTTTACATTTTTTATAGGTAAGAGTTATGTACAATGAAATAAGTGTGCATCTGCTCAATTTTGACAAATTTATATAAGTGTATAACCCAAATCTTTATGAACATATTAAATATTTCCATCATCTCAGAAAGGTTCCTTTATGTCTCTTTCTAATCTCCCCCATCTAGAGGTAATCGCCTTTTTTTTTTTGCCTATTCTAGAACTTGATTTAAATGGAATCATACTATATATACTCTTTTTTCTGTAGGGCTTAATTAATTTGGTATGTTTTTTGAGATTCATCTATATTTACTGTGTTTTTTCAGAAGTTTAATTTTTTTTTTTTATGGTGGAACTGGGGTTTGAACTCAGGACTTCACACTTGCAAAGTAGGTGCTCTACTTCTTGAGCCACTCAGCCAGATCAGTTTCCTTCATTTCATTTTTGAATATTTTCTGTTTGTATATACAGTTTGTTTATTCTTTCACTTATCGATGGCCATTTGTTTATTGTTTTTAAGTGGGATTGAGGAGTGAGACAGAGATTTACAATCTCACAGGAAGGCCAGTTCTTGACCACATAGAAAAAATATAAGAGAAATCTTTTAAAAAAAATTTGATGAATCAGCTATTTCACCTTTTCTTTCCTCAAAGCATCTGGCAATCCAGTGCCATTGGTCTCAGAGGCCAGCAGTTATTGGAGATGTACTTCAGGTCTACAGTGGGTCTGAAGGGAGGGCTATTATCTTCTGTGAGACCAAGAAGAATGTAACTGAAATGGCCATGAACCCTCACATAAAACAGGTAAGTCTTTTCATGTGTTCTGTAGTTGAGATTACGGGGATGCATTGCTGAACAAAAATCATACTGTCCTTTGTGGACCAAAGTTGGTAGTCATTCTCACAATCGAGTTTAATTCAGAAATAAACTGCCAGGCACCAGCAGCCTGTGCTTATAATGCTAGCTATTCAGGAGGCAGAGATCAGAAGGATTGCAGTTTGAAGCCAGCCCAGAAAATAGTTCACCTAACCCTATCTCGAAAAAAATCTATCACAAAGAAAGGACTGGTGGAGTGACTCAAGGTGTAGGGCCTGAGTTCAAACCTCAGTACTACAAAAAAAAAGGAAGGAGGGAGGGAGATAAGGAGAAAGGAAGGAAGCAAGCAAGCAGGGAAGCCTCTTCTGCTTTGTGAGTCAGGATAGATTTTGGGGTTTGTTTTTTTTTGGCAGTATGGGGTTTGAACTTAGGACCTTGTGCTTGCTAGGCAGGCACTCTACCACTTGAGCCACTCCCAGGTTACAACATGATGTTAGGAGAGGATTTTGTCAATTTTCATTCAGAGTTTTTGTCTTATAAAAATGAATTATAAATTTTTTTTTTTTTTTGTGGTACTGGGGTTTGAACTCAGGACTTACACATTGAGCCACTCCACCAGCCCTTTTTTTGTGATGGATTTTTTTCTAGATAGGTTCTCATGAATTACGCCAACTTTGAACTGTGATTCTCCTGATCTCTGCCTCTTGAGTAGCTAGGATTATAGGCATGAGTCACCAGAGCCTGGCTACAGTATATACTTTCACTTAAGTTTCAGCCAAATTTTCTTCAATTATGATTTTCATTTAATTTTTAATTACTTTTTCTTCTGAGGATTGAACCTGACATTCTAGGCCTCACACATGCTAGACAAATGCTCTACCTCTGAACTAACATTCTCTGCCCTTGAACTTTGATTTTTAGTATTTGGTTTGTCTGATTGCTTCAGTTTCCTTCTTTAGGGATTCTTAAAGTTTTTAAAATCTTTTTTTTTTTTTTTCAAAATTTCAGTTTTCAAAATACCCCCCCACCCCTTTTTTTTTTTTTGTGGTACTGAGGCTTGAACTCAAGGCCTACACCTTGAGCCACTCCACCAGCCCATTTTTGTGATAGATGTTTTTGAGATAGGGTCTCACAAGCTATTTGCCTGGGCTAGCTTCAAACCACAGTCTTCCTGGCCTCTGCCTCCTGAGTAGCTAGGTTTACAGGCGTGAGCTACCAGCGCCTGGCTCAAAATCCCTCTTTCTTTCCTCCTTCCCTTCCTTCCCTCCTTTCCCCCTTTCCCTCCCTTCCTCCCTTCCTTCTTTTCTTTCTTTCTTTTGCAGTAATGAGGATTGAACCCAGGATCTCTTGTACACTCGACAAGTACTCTACTACTTGAACTACACCCCAACTCTTTTATTGGTATTTTGTTTTATAGACAGGGTCTGGCTGACTTTGCCTGGACTAGCCTCAAACTCTCAATCCTCCTGCCTCTGCCTCTTGAGTAAGCTGGATTATAGGTATGTGCTGCCATGCCTGGTTGAAGTTTTCCCCCTCTTTTTCCCCAGTGGTTCTGGGGTTTGAATTCAGGGCTGTGGGCTGGCTAGACAGGTGCTCTACTACTTGAGCTATACCCCCAACCCTTTTTGGTTTAGTTATTTTTCAGATAGGGTCTTTTGTTTATGCTGGAGCCAACCTTCACTGTAATCCTCCTGTTTACACTTCCTGTGTAGCTGGCATGATAGTCATGAGACCCCACTTTTTGCCTGGGCTCCCCTTGAGCCCCAATCTTCCCAATTTCTGCCTCCCAAGTAGCTAGGATCAGGAGTATGCCATAGCCTCTGGCTAAAATTTCAATTTTTAAAGTATCATATTTATTCAGTCTTGCTTTCTTTCTAGTGTAGCCTTCATTTGTGAGAAGTTTCTAATTTTTATTTCCACTTCTCAAGTCATTTTGTTTTTCTTGCTTTTTTTTTTTCTTTTTTGGTGGTACTGAAGTTTGAACTTAGGGTGTTGCATTTGCTAGGCTGGCACTCTACTCCTGGGTCATACCTCCAGTCTGAATTTTTTTTCCTTTATTTTGGTGGTACTGGGGTTTGAACTAAGGGCCTCACACTTGCAGGCGGGTGCTCTACCCTTGAGCCACTCCTCCAGTCCCTGAATTTTGTTCTTTACTATGTTGTTTAAAATTTTTCTTTTGGCAGGTGTTGGGACTCTGAAGGGCTTCATTTGGAGCCAGGCCACTAGGGCTCCAGCAGTCTGGGAACCAGAAAAAAAATTTTTTTTTTCCTTTTAAGGCTAATGATACAGGGTTGAGAGCTTGCCTAACATGTGCGAGGCCAAGGTTCAGTCCCCAGCACTGCAAAAAAAATAAAAATAAATAAAAGTTTTCTTTTACCTCATTCAGAACTATGTTACACTTTCATCTGTTTTGTGGACATGCTTTTCTAGATCACATTTATTATCTGTGGGAATATATATTTTTTTAATTTGGTAGGACTGGGTTTTGAACTCAGGGCTTTGTTCTTGCAAAGCAGGAGCTCTACCACGTGATTCCCCCTTCCAGCTCATTTTGCCCTGGTTATTTTGGAGATGGGGGTCTTGTGAACTATTTGCTCAGGCTGGCCTCTAAACCTCAGTCCTCTGGATCTAGAAGTAGCTAGAATTACAGGCATGAGCCACCTTTACCCTGCTTTCTGCTATTTATCTTTCTTCCTCTTCCTACTTACTTTCTATGGGATTTGACTGTTATCTTTTTCCATTGCTCATTTTTAGATGAAGTTAATCTTTCTGAACTTTAAGTGGAAAGGCATGGGTCATGATAGTTTTCTAGCTTCACAGGTTTAGAGCTGCTTCTGATATTTTTGTTAATGTTTAAAAATATGGTCTGCAAATTACACCTCAATAAAGATGTTAAAAAAGATCTCCCACTCTTTGAGCTCTGGCCGTGTCCTTCCTCCCCTTTGTCTGAGTCTTTTCTTTCTCTGCTCTTATCCTTGTCATATGTATTTTGGATTCTTGGCCCAGCAGTTCTTCCTCACTGTGGGGCTTTGTTTTGGAAGTTTGTGTAGGGCTGAGCATCAGAGCTGCTCTAGCCTCCTCAGGCTGGCATCTCACAGTCACCCTTGAGAGTGCAAAATCCTCCCCAGTTTCAGCAGCCTTTTTTTTTTTTTTTTTTTTTTAAACAATTTGCTTGAGAGTATGTTTTCCAGGAAGTAGTTGTTTTAAGGTCTGTCACATTCCCCCTATATAATAGGTTTTGCCCTTGCCTGAACATGTTTGGGAAATTACTAAAATACCTGGTCAGTTTTGTCAAAGATGTTGTATGAGGGTTTTTACTTCTCTTATCCTAGTTTGCTGTTTGCTTTTATGTAGGAACTAGAGATTCAAAGACTATGCTGTCACCATCTTTTCCAGTGTCATTTTAGCTGATTATGTCATGTTAGCTTTGCTGTTAGAAATGTCCAGAGTAAATAAATGAATGAGTTAGAGGGTAGCTGATTTCCCTTTCCTTTCATTGCTTTATAACACTTAATAGCAGCTATCTCATAGCTGCTTTATCTAACAGGGAAGAATAGCTTTGCTGAAAAGACTGGGGAGAGTTCCCTCTCAGTGAACAATATCAGTTTCTGTGCCTGAGAGTATGAACTTTCCCTCTGGATGGTGACTGCTGTTTAGATAAATTCTCTTGCCTCTGCCTGCTTGGATTACAGATCTGAGCACCATGCCCAGCTTTTTATTTTGTCTTCATTTTTTAATTCATGTTAGGGATTGAACCCAGGGCCTCCCGGATGCTATTAGGCATGGATTCCACCACTGAGCTACGCTTCCAGTCCCTAGTTTGTTTTTAAATTTAAATTTCTTATTTTAATTAATTATTATTATTATTATTATTTTTTTGGTGGTGGTACTGGGGTTTGAACTCATGGCTTCACACCTGCAGGCAGGCACTCTACCACTTGAGCCACTCCACCGGTCTTTTTTTGTGATACGGTTTTTCAAAATAGGGTCTCAAGAAGTATTTGCTCTGTGCTGGCTTGGAACTGTGATCCTCCCGATGTCTGCCTCCTGAGTAGCTACAGTTACAGACTTGAACCACTGGCTCCTGGCTCTAATTGTTTCTTCTTAAGGTCAAGGTTTTTACTTGGTTTCACCAGTAAAATGCCTTCTGAATTCTAAACATTCTCTCTCTCTCTCTCTCTCTCTCTCTCACACACACACACACACACACACACACACACACACACACTCTCTCTCTCTCTCTCTCTCTCTCTCTCTCTCTCTCTCTCTCACTCTCACTCATGCATACATGCACACTTGAGAAACAATTTAAAAGTTGGCGACCTGAAAACCATCTTTGATGTATGTTCCTCTTAGGGTTAGTTACCAAGTATAAGACCCTTGTTGCATTGAGTTTTTTTTTTAAGTGAATTTGAGAAATTTACTATGAAAATATATTTGCTTATAACTTTTTTATTTGCTTGTAACTTAAAAAATGTAAATTATGAAACATTTTTTCATGCTTTGTTGAAACATTTATCTTAACAACTTGGGTTCCATGATAACAAGTTTTCTTGTCTTGTTTTGTCTTTCTTCCTTCTTCTCTCTCTGTTCTTATCTGTCCCTCTTTTCATTCCTCTATCTTCTTCCCTCCCTCCCTCTTTCTCTTTTCTTTTTTTGTTACTAGGGATTGAACTCCAGGGACCATGCAAAGTTTTCTTCCTTCTTTTCTGGCTAATATCTTACAGTTTCTGATGAGGTCTTTTTCTATTTCACCCCACCCTCTTTAATTTGCTCAATTTGCATCTTGCTAATTTTTCCTTCCTTCCTCTGAACTTAAACCTTTCCTCTGTACCAAAGTCTGTTTTTTGGTCTGGTGGAGTGGTCTAAGTGGTAGAATGACTGCCTAACAAGCATGATGTACTGAGTTCAAGCCCCAGTACTGCCAAAAAAAAGAACCAAAGTCTGGTTTGTAGTCAGTGGAAAGTGGGGCTATTCCCTAATCTTAGGGTCCCTTCTACTTTTTACATTGTTTTCCATTAAACTCTGAAGATTTTTTTTCTTTTTTTTTGGTGGTACGGGGCTTGAACTTGGCCTCACGCTTGCTAGACAGGTGCTCTACTACTTGAGCCACTCTGCCAAGCCCTGTTTTGTGTTGGTTATTTTGGAGATAAGGTCTCAGGAACTTTTGGCTTCAAACCTTGATCCTCCTGATCTCTGCCTCCAGAGTAAGTAGGATTACAGGTGTGAGCCACTGATGCCTGGCCCTCAAGGTCTTTTTGTATTCTTGCCTGTACTTTAAACTTTAAACTATTTAATATTTTTTTTGTGTGGTGCTAGGCTGGAACCCAGGACCTTTAACATGCTAGTTGGGAGGCAGTACAGGTTGAGTATCCCTTATCCAAAATTCTTCGGAGATCATGTTGGTGCTTTGAAATACTTTAGATTTCAGAGAATTTTGAATTTCAGATTTTTGAAATAAGGATGAGCAACCTATGGTAGTGACTAGTAGTACAGACTTTGGAGTCTGATCAGAGTTCAAATTCCAGTTGTTCTACTTACTAGTTGTGTAACTTGTGTCAGTCACTTAATATTTTTGTGTTTTCTCTTTTTAAGAAGTGGTAGAGCCAGGCACTGGCGGCTCGTGCCTGTAATCCTAACTACTTAGGAGGCAGAGATCAGGAAGCTTGCAGTTCAAAGCCCGCCCTGGCAACAGTTTATGAACCCTTTCTTGAAAAAACCCATCACAAAAAATTGGCTGATGGAGTGGCTTAAGGTGTGGGTCCTGAGTTCAAACCCCAGTACTGCCAAAAAAAAAAAAAAAAGTAGAACCAGGCATCAATGACTCATGCCTATAATCCTAGCTACTTGGGATGCTGAGATCAGAAGACTCATATTTCAAGGCCAGCCAAGACAGTTAATCAGAGCAAAATGGACTGAGCAAAATGGAGGTGTGGCTCAAGTGGTAGAGTGCCTACTTTGCCAGCATGAAGCTCCCTGACTTCAAATCTCTAGTCCCACCTAAAAAAAAGAAAAAAACTGAACTTCTAGAAGCCAGGTGCCTAATTACATAATATCTTAGCTACTCGGGAGGCTGAGGTCAGGAGAATCATAGTTTGAGACCAGCCTGGGTAAAAAGTTTGGGAGACCCCATCTTAACCTACAGCTGGGTTCAGTTTTTCACACCTGTCATCCCAAGCTACCTAGGAGGCTGAGATTGGGAAGGTTGTGATTCTAGGCCCACATGGGCAAGAAAGTTTTTGAGGCCCTATTTCAACAGAAAAAAATGTGGAAGTGAGTGTGTGCACCTGCCATCCCAGCAGTGGTGAGCATAGGATTGTGGTCCATGCCAGCCTGGGCAAAAAGTGAGACTCTTATCTCCAAAATAATGACAGTGAAAAGGGCTGCTGGAGTGGCCCAAGTGGTAGAGTGCCTACCTAGCAAGTGTGCAGCCCTGAGTTCAAACACCAATACTGAAGAAAAAAGAAATATGCTTTAAGGGTTTGGCAGGGTGGCTCAAGTGGTAGAGCACCTGCCTAGCAAGCATGAGGGCTTGAGTTCAAACTCCAGTACTGACAAAAAAACAAAACAAAACAAAACAAAACCTTTAAAAATAGCACAATACTTAAATGAAACCATTTATTTAAAGCATTTAGCATAGTCTTTTCTTGTAGGAAATAGTCCAAAAGTGTAAAAACAGAAGTATAGGTATGTATGTGTAGATACACACATATATGTAAATATAATTATGTAAATTAACTCCTGTGACTTTAGTCACTGTGTTTGTGATGGTGATCCCAAGACTTTTTCCAGGTTAGATCTGCCTCCACAATAACGGGGCCTTTATTTATCTAACTGGCCATATACACCCCAATTCATTATGTCCTAAAATTGAATTTATTATTTGTTTATTTATGGCAGCACTGGAGTTTGAACTCAGGATCTCACACTTGCTAGGCGGGTCCTCTTCTTACCGCTTGAGCTACTCCACGAGCTCTGTTTTTTTTTTGGAGAATTCACATTTATTGACTGATATGGTACAACCTGGAATTAATTCCAAATAAATTCCACTTTTTGAACATTTGGTCTGTTAGTTTTGGCATCAACAGACTTGGTAACTACCTGATGCTAACCTGACAATGTGTTGACAGTAGCCCCCGCCACTGGTCCTTCAATTTGCTTAGTAATAAGTCCTTTGCTTCTTCTGTCATTCCTGTGGGGAATGGCTTATTTCCCTCCTTCCTGTACAATTGATACTGGACTGGATTGTTGTTTCCCAGGTTCGTGTCCTGGCGCAGTTGATGATTGAAGGCGCCGGACAAGCAGTTAGGAGTTAAAGTAAGTTCATGCCACAGAATAGGAGTTAAGAGTAAAGCAAGCACAAAGTTTATATTGAAAGGAAAGCAAAGCACCCTAATGAGTGGGACCTAGTGAAAGAACTAATTGTGGGATAACTAAAGTTCATGAGATTATATAGAGTGCAGTTTAGGCACCCCCTCCCCAGTTTACCTTTGACACTGGCTATGATTTTTTTTTTCGTAAATTTTTTTATTAGGATATATTCATTATACGGGGGGTTCATAGTAACAATTCCGATTAGACTTATATTGTACATTAGTTACATTGCCCTCACACTGTGGCTATAATTGACTGTCTAACTGACTTTTGGTCAAGCCTGACCATCTAATTGCCCCCCATCCTTATCAGACTGGACATTCCAAGAGGGTCTCATTAGTCCATCCTGTCCTTCAGGCTTACCACCTACATTTTGTGACTACCGCTCATTCTGGTGAGACCCCTTTTTTGTTTATCTTGGGAAAGTTTGCTATGTTACTCTCCTTTTATGGGTCTGCATTTCATTCCTTTAGACATCTGCCTTTAGGAATGTTTTATCTTATTTCCCTTACCTAGAACGAGAAACTACTCAGCACCTGTGTGTGAAGCTGGTTTCTCAGTCTCCCTAAATGTTTTGCTTTTAAGTATGCCTTCCTATCTCCTTTATCTAAAACAAAGTTCCTTTACATCCCCAGGGTTATTTCTGTCGTTTGTTTCTAGGGACATTCTGCCATTTTATTTCCCCTCACATTTGTCACCTTACACAATTTGGGCAAACCGACTGGTGATGGCAAGAGTAGTGTCAGCAAAGTGGTCCACAGAGCTAGAGAGACAATTATTAGTACTAGAGTTCCTGGCTTTTCCACACACTTATCCCAACATAGCTCCAGGAAGTGATGCACCTGAGCAGTGAACTGCACTTTCTGCTGTTTGACAGCCACCAGGTGCTGCAACTCCACTTCTCCCACCTCACCCAGTTCCACCATTGTCCCTATATGGCTGAGGACCTCTGGTGAGCCCCAGCTCTTTTTTTGTGATTGTTTTTTTTTTTTTTTCCAAGATAGGGTCTCACCAGTGACTAGTTTGGAAATCATTTTTTCTTATTTATAATAATAAGGATTATGATTCATAATATATAGGGTGGATAGTGTATGATGAAATAAATACAGAACATTGAAGAGTAAGAAAAGGACACAACTCCTTTTTTAATAGTGTAATAGCTATTTTTGGGGGGAGGGGTGCTGGGGATTGAACTTTGGGCTTTGCACATTTGAGGCAAGCACTCTACCACTGAGCTACATCTCCAGCCCCAGATACTCATATTTATAATTTTTGACCCAGAAATTCAACTTCTAGATGTATATCCTATTGAAATATACATATATAGAGGCATCCAGAGATGTAAGTAAGTACAAGATTGTTCATTGCAGCATTGTTTCTGAAGGTGAAGTTTGGACATGACTCAAATGTTCATCAGTAAGATATTGCTAAAAAAAATGCTGCTGCAACATGAAAAACTATACCGTTTCAAAAAATTAAGTACTTACAGGTATGAAAAATGGCCATAATATAGCACTAAATTTATACAGTATACTGCAAAACAATACATATAAATGTGATCCCATTTTTATAAGTACCTAAAATTTTAGTATATGCTAGTAAGTGTGAATTGTATGACAGAGTGTGTATATGTACTTAAAAAAAAAAAAATCTAAGGAGAGTAAAGTGGTATACCCCTGTAATCCTAGCACCAGTCAGTAGAGGCAGGAGGATTGTAAGTTCAAAGCCAGCCTGGGCTACACTGTCTGAAAAAAAAGAAAGAAAGACAAACCAAAAGGTTTTACAAAATGTTTATAAACAAACCAAAAACGTCTTTAGGCTAGGGATGTTAGTTCAATGGTAGAGTGCTGCAAAAACATAAATAACAACAACAACAAAATCATCTGGCAGATTATCCACCAAACTATTAGCAAGGAATTCTTTCTTTCTTTCTTTCTTCCTTTTTTTTTTTTTTTGGTGGTACTGGGGATTGAAGTCAGGGCCTCATACTCGCTAAGCAGGTGCTCTACTGCTTGAGCCACTCCACCAGCCAGCAGTGAATTATTTCTGAGAGGCTGGTATAGAGGAAGTTTTTTACATTTTATGTTAAATATTTTCTAGAATGTTTGATTTTCTTTTCTTTCTTTTTTCTTTTTGTAAAAAACATGTATTGTCATAATTATTGAAAACAAGAAGATTAAAAAAACCATAGCAGGTGTGGTGGTACACAACTATACTCCCAGCACTGGGGAGCCATGTGATTTCAAGGCTAGCCTGGGCTATATAGCAAGGAGATCCTGTCTTAAAAATAAAAACCAAAAATACCATAAAAGGAGCACAGACTGCTGGATGGTGTTGTGGTGCTATCAGTTATAAGTATGAGCTGTATACTTCCTTTTTCCTTTTTTCAAACAGAATGCCCAGTGTTTGCATGGGGACATTGCACAGTCACAGAGAGAAATTACACTGAAAGGCTTCAGAGAAGGTAGCTTTAAAGTTTTGGTTGCAACCAATGTAGCTGCCCGTGGTTTGGACATTCCTGAGGTTGACCTGGTGATTCAAAGTTCTCCTCCACAGGTAGGAAATGGAATTTGATTTGGGGAAAATAAGAGCAGTTTTATAAATTGCTGTTTTATTTACAAAGTATTGCTTGGGATGTAAAAGATAACATCATTTGCTCTTGCTCTTAACTGTATTTTGTTACGGTGGTGTTAAATTGATCAGAATGCGATGCCTTCATAAATTATTAACTTTGTTGTTTGCATCTAAACCTTGGATCAACAAATCATACAAAGGAATTTTAAAAGTTGCATATGAAGAACTCTGGTATAGGTGAATAAGAAAACTTTTAAATCATACTTCTTTACCTCCAAATTCTAGCATATAAATCATTTGAGATACTGAAAAGTACAATAGAACTGAAGTACAAATGGATTATTGTTAGAGTATTATTATTGTTTGGATGCTGAATGACTATGGAGCTTGCCAAGTTTTTGAAAAGTATTTCCTTGCTTACTTTTAGGATGTTGAGTCATATATCCATCGCTCTGGACGCACAGGAAGAGCTGGTCGAACAGGGATTTGTGTATGCTTTTATCAACCAAGAGAAAGAGGTCAACTAAGATATGTGGAACAAAAAGCAGTAAGTAAAGTTAATTTCAGGCTTATTATCTAAATATGACTTAGAAGAAAGTTCTTTTTACATTTGTTCTCACAAATAGATCTTCCCAGCTTTTCTCAGTTTACTCTGCATTTGGATGTGAAGCATTTGGAGAGCTAAATTTATGTTAGCTGCAAGATTTTGTTTTATACAGCTTTTATTGTGAAGACAGAACTGACTTTCTCATGTTTTCCTTGAATTTCTCCCTTGATACTAAAATCAGAAGTGTGTTATGATTTCATTATCTCAGTTCAGCATTATTTTTATTTTATTATTATATAGATACATATTTTTTGGCGGTCCTGGGGTTTGAAGTCAGGGCCTTCATCTTGAGCCACTCCACCAGCCCTTTTTGTGTTGGGTATTTTTGAGATATGGTCTTGTGAACTATTTGCCTGGACTGGCTTTGAACCTTGATCCTCCTGATTTCTGCCCCCTCAGTAGCTAGGATTATAGGCATGAGCCACTGGCACCGGGCCCAGTCCACCATTATAAATGGGTGATTGTGATATTGTTTTGGTGTAGTAATTAAAAGTTATATTCATACAGTTAGATATATCCAATATATTATATATATGTACAATATATAATTATATTTGTACAATAACCAGTTTCTATAAAAAATGTATTTTCTGTGGCCTAGATTTTTTTGTAGTATTTCAGATTTTTCCTCTACTTTTGTGATGTATGTTTTTATATGCAATCTCATATACTTTGTAAAAGGAAGTGGGCGGGCTGGTGGAGTGGCTCACAAGCAAAAGGCCCTGAGTTCAAACCCCAGTACCCACTCTCCCTCCACACCCCTCCCCCACACCCCCAGCCCAAAACAAAGAAATGGAATAACAGGGAAAAAAGTTGATAGATGTAATAAATGTCTTCTTATTTTTATTTTTTTTGGAATCAGCTTTGTTTTACAAGTGAAATTCCATGATTATAACTAAGGAACAATTCAGTTTTTTTTTCTCTTTGAAATTTATGAAAGATTTATTAGAAAAAGCAGATCTTTTCATTTGCTAGGGCTTAGAAATCTTTAAGTCCAAAAAATGGAAATTCAACAAATCATATTAATTTAGGAATTAATTGTAACAACTTCCATTTTTCTTTAATGTAATTCTTTCATTTTCAGGGAATTACTTTTAAACGTGTAGGTGTTCCTTCTACAATGGATTTAGTTAAATCTAAAAGCATGGATGCCATCAGGTATGCTTTCTGACCTTGCTGAATAATTTTTTTCTTTTGTATTAGGCTATTCATCTTTAGGCTCTCCTAGTTCAAATATCAGAAAATTTTAATCACCAGTTTTACCAGAAGACATTAAGTTATGTTAAAATATGAAAGTGCTAGTCTTTCTTTTCCCATTCTCTTTTATGTTTTTCCCTGTATCTTGACCAAGAAAATTTACTATTTTTAAACCGTAGGTCTCTGGCTTCTGTTTCTTATGCTGCTGTTGATTTTTTCCGACCATCAGCTCAGAGACTGATAGAAGAGAAAGGGGCAGTGGATGCATTGGCTGCAGCATTAGCCCACATTTCTGGTGCATCGAGCTTTGAACCACGATCTCTGATCACCTCTGATAAGGTAGAAATGTGTGAGAAAATTGTATGTGTGGGAAAAGGTTAAAATTGAGAGCATTTATTCTCTATTGAATTACTGAACGTTGCATTTAATTCCTTCAATATACTGTTTTTTCTGTTCTGAATAAAACTATTTTGCTCTATTAAAAGTTGGTTTTCTTATCTGGGTATGGTGTTACAGGCCTGTAATCCCAGCATTTAGGGCATCTGAGGTGGGAAATCTTGAATTTAATTCCAGTCTGGGTTATATAACAAGACTATCTCAAAAAACAAAATAAGTAAAAAGAAATTGATTGGTCTTTTCATTTTCCTCTATCCCTCAATACTTCTTTTTTATTTTAGATGCAATGTTTTGTTTTTTGGCAGGAGTGGGGCTTGAACTCATAGCCTCACACTTGCAGCACAGGTGCTATACAACTTGAGCCACTCCTCCAGTCCTCTTTTTTATTTTTGATAAATCTACCTCTTCTAAATTTTCAAGCCTACAGAAAAAATTGAAAGACCAATACAGTAAAAATCATATGCCATCCACCAGATTCAACAACTGTTAATATTGTATTACATTCGCTTTATATATACTTTTTGTTTTGCTGAACTATTTGAAAGTTGAAACCTATCATTTCTAAATATTTCAACCTGTATTTTCCAAAAATAAGGATCTCATCTACATAATCATAGTATCAGTCTCAACTATGAAAATTAGTAATAGTTGCTTATTAATCATTTAGTATATATTCCATGTTCACATTTGCTACATTATACAAAAAAAAGTCTGTCTGTCCATCTGTCTGGAGGAGACTAAAGGAAAGCCTGACTTTGCACAGTACTGTGTTAACTGAAACTTGTATCCTAAAATGTACTTTTCATTTTGTTAGTTGCCATGGAACCATACAAAGTGAGAAACAGATTCTGTGCAGTAAACACAGTAGTTTGCATAGTAAGGACTGGCTATATGTCTGGAGGGATGTATTTGTGTGCTTGAGGGAATGTGTGTAACACTGATATTGCCTACTGCCAGATCAGTGTCAGATATTAAATGTACCACACCAGAACCATTGGTTGTAAGTGGTTCAAAGATTTATTACTTACTTGAATACAAGTGGAAGGAATCCCTTGGTGAGGGGACCATCCATAAGAAACCTTTCTGACACCTAGGTGAGACAGCATCTAGCATGGTTTCTGGCACATAGGTAGGAGGCACTCAATAAATATTTGCTAGCTGGGCATTGGTAGCTCACTCCTGTAATCCTAGCTACTTGGGAGACCAAACTGTTTGCCCCAGATGCCTTCAAACCACGATTTTCCTGATCTCTGCCTTCTGGGTAGCTAGGATTACAGGTGTGAGCCACTGGCACTCAGCTGTTTAATTCTCTCTTAAAGCATAATACTATGAATAGTCTTTATATAGTTTGTAAGTCTGTAATAGCAATGCACAGAAAAATACTTTCTTTTTCTTTTTGGGGGGGTTTGATCTCAGGTCCTCATGTATGCTAGGCAGGTGCTCTACCACTTGCATCACTCTGACATTTCAGAATACTTTTGATGATGTGTACACATTAGTTTTCTAATATAGTTTCAAAGATGTTATTTTTTTAGCAGGCAAGTTATACTATTGACTAATAAGAAATGCACAATTACATCATGAAAGGGGTATAGAGTTAGAACTTGACTGTCCTTCTGATGAAGATTATTTTTCCAAGTATAATGTGACTTGTATTCCTTAAGGGGTTTGTGACCATGACTCTGGAAAGCCCAGAAGAAATACAAAATGTCAGTTGTGCTTGGAAAGAACTTAACAGAAAGCTGAGTAGTAATGCTGTGTCCCAAGTTACCAGAATGTGCCTCCTAAAAGGAAATATGGTAGGTTTTTATAGATAAATAAAAGTTTTTAAATCAACTACCACAAATGTTTATAAAGAGTACTAATGTTTGTTGCTTCTTTCTTTTTTTGAAGCCTTATGGGATGAATAATACTGCTTTCTTGTTGTTGTTTTTGTTTTTTGTTGAGTGTTGGTTTGTTTCCACTTACAAATTTGGTGAATTATATAAATGACTCCTTCCTCCAGAGCTATCAGTCATTCTGCTGCATGGTTTGACCAAAAGCCAAGTTATCTAAGCTTCTGTCATGGTATACATAGCATACATGGTACACAAACATACATGTTTGTATGTGTTTAGTTTCTAAGATAAGTAACTTATGCTTGCAGTAGTTCAAGGCTCTGTAACTTAAGAGAACATAAAATTTTATTTTTTAACATAGTTTGAACTGAGTGCCTTGTGCTTCCTAGGTGGGTGGTCTACCACTTGAGCCTCACCCCATTCTACAATATAATTTTTTAATTGGCGAGCTCTTGGTTGTTAATGAGGATAATGATATGAGTTAAATAAGTTATTTTTATACAGCATAATTAAAACTTTGTCTTCTTAGTGACTGTGATTTCTTCTAATGGTTTTGGAAAAAAAACATGTTAAAATTATTTAACTTTATCACAGGTTCATTTTAGACTAAAATTTATTAACTAGATTATTATTGGAAATAATTATCTCTCAGGTTTAATGTTACTTACCTTCAACAAAAATTTGAGGCAAGTATGAGAAAATATATGTAACAAAAAAATGTAGAGAGAGGAAAAAATAACAAGATCCATATGCCAAACTAGTTATTGAGTATTAAATTAGCTTTTAACTTATGGGCAACCAAGACTCTAGAGGAAATATCTTGACTTGTATCAATCTCATATCTTGTAAACACTGAAGCTCTTCAGGAGAGAAACTTTCTGGCAGTAAATTTTCATTTTTTTAAAACTTAATTACTTGGTGGCACTGGGGTTTGAACTGAGGGCTTTGTGCTTGCTAGGCAGGCACTCTTACTGCTTGAGCCACTCTGCCAGCCCTTTTTTGTGATGGGTTTTTTGAGATAGGATCTCACAAACTAATTGCCTGGTGCTAGCTTTGAACCAGGATCCTCCTGGTCTTTGCCTCCTGAGTAGCTAGGATTACAGGTATGAGCCACCAGTGCCTGGCTAAACATTTTTTTTTTTTTTTTGTGGTACTTGAGTTTGAACTCAGGGCCTACACCTTGAGCCACTTCATCAGCCCTTTTTTTTGTAATGGGTTTTTTTGAAATAGGGTCTTGTGAACTATTTATCCGGGATTGGCTTCGAACTGCAATCCTCCTGATCTCTGCCTCCTGAATTGCTAGGATTACAGGTGTGAGCCACCGGCACCAGCTAAAAAATATATATATTTTAAACTTTGCAATACTGGGAATTAAACCTACAGCCTTGCACATGCTAGGCAAACACTGAGCTATACTTGCAGCCTCTCACTAAAATTTTAAAGAATGTGTTAGAGGGATCATTTTACAAGGAAGTGGAACAGAGTTAACAGTTTCTACAAAAATTCTTCTAGAAAATATTACAGTTTCTTAGTATTAAGTTCTTATTAGATATCATATTTAGTTTTCAGATTTAGAAAATACATTAAGCAAATATTCTTGTGTGTTGTTAATGTATTGTCTATTTTGATCTTGTAAGCAATTATGGAATATGTACTTTTTTTTTAGCAAATAAAAGATTATCAGCAAGTATTTGTTTATTAGTAAAAAATTAACCCAAATGCATATAAATAAAAATATTTTTATTTTGCTTTTAGGGTGTTTGCTTTGATGTACCTACAACGGAGTCAGAAAGGTTACAGGTATTTTTAAAAATTTTACCTGTTAAAATATTTGAGTATGTTTCTCTAAAAGATTGTTTTGAAAAACATAGTTGTAATATCATTATCATTCATAAATCAATTAAGAATTTCTTAATATGAAATAGCCTGTCTCATAAGTAAAATTTTGCTTAGGCTGGCTCAAGTGATAGGGCACTTGCCTAGCAAGCACAAGGCCCCGAGTTCAAACCTCAGTACCACCACCAAAAAAAAGAAATAAGGTTCAAAAAAAAAAAAAAAAGTTTTTCTTTTTATAAATAATTTGAAACAAAATTAGTTATATAGTAAATCCTCATGAACATATTACCCAGCTTCTCCAATTTGACATTTCATGGCTAGTTTTGTTTCATTTCTATTTCTGTCCACTTTCCCACTCTTTAGAGACAAATTTTAGGCATTCTATCATTTTAACCATAACTGTTTCCACATATCTACATGTTAAGGACTTTTAAAAAATATTTATGATATTACAATTAAGTCCTTAATGTGGACTTAATTCCTTAATAGTTTATGTTTAAATATCCCTTATTGTCTCCTGATTTTTTCTTCATTCTTTTTTTTTTTTTTTTGTGCTACTGGGGATTGAAGCCAGGGTCTCACACCACATGATAGACAACTGCTGTAACACAGAGCTACATATCCAGACCTCCTGAATTTTTTTTTCTTTTTTTCTGAATATTTTTAATATAAGGTTCACACTATATAATTTGATGTTTCCCAAGTCTTTTTAATCTAAAGGATGCTTTCATTTATCTTTCTTTAAAAAATTTCCTTGTATTTTGTCTGTTTAAGAACAGGGTCCAGTGAAGAATTTGTGTATCCCTTTGCATATTTATTTTTACATACATACTTTAAAACAAGAATGGGATTATACTATTTTTGGAGTCTTTTAAAATTCATAATATATCATGGATGTATTTCTGTACCAACTATATTGTTACTTATTTTTAATTATCCCCTGGTATTTGGCCACATGGATAGCCTAACTTTCATCACCAGTATCCTAGTTTCTGAAACTTAGACTATTTCTCATAACACTATGATAAAGAGGATTTCACTGAACATTGCTGTAGCTAATTCTTCATGCATTGCTACATTTATCTCTTTTTGTTTTGGGTTGTCTTGGAAATCGAAATCAGGGTCTTATGCATGCTAGGCAAGTACTCTTATCACTTGAGCCATGCTATCAATCCTTTTAACTTTAATTATTTTTTGGATTTTGTCTCTCTTGAGTGGGCCACCCTCAGACCAAGATCATCCTACCTATGCTTCTTGCTAGCTGGGGCCACAGACATGTACTAACACACCCAATTTATTGACTGAGATTGGGTTCTGCTAACTTTTTGCCCAAGCGAGCCTCAACCCACAATCTTTCTGACCTTTGCCTCCAGAGAAGGTGGAATTACAGGCATGAGCCACTGTATCTGGCTTTAATTTATATATCTTTATTTCTTTACTTTCATACCAAATTGTTTCCAGTAGCTACATTTTTTTAGTTCTTGGGAGATATTCATAGGTTTTTAATCTGCATTATCAGTTCTTTTACTTCTTGGTTTTTCAGTATAGCCTCAAAATATTTCACTGCATATTAATGGCATAACTGTTGCGAAAGTACTTAGTGCTTTCTTTTAGTATATATAAACTAGGTAGGGTATGGTTCTTCACACCTGTAATCCCAGTGCTTGTGAGTCCAAGGCAGGAAGATCAAAAGTTTGAAGCAGCTTGGGCTACACAGCAAGACCCTGCCTCAAAAACAAAAGCAACAAAAAACGTAGAATGTGTATACTGTGAATGAATTTAGAGTCCTTTTTTTATTTTGCAGTACTGGGGCTTGAACTCAGGGCCTTCTCCTTGAGCCACTCCACCATCCCTTTTCGTGTTGGGTATTTTTGAGATAGGGACTCACAAACTGTTTGCCTGCACTGGCTTTGAACTACGATCCTCCTGATCTCTGCTTCCTGAGTAGCTAGGATTACAGGTATGAGCCACTGGTACCAGGCTGAATTTAGAGTCCTTAAAATGATTCTGAGAGTTTCTTCTGAGATTAAAATTTGGGACATTACTGAATGAGCTTTGAGCATGATTTTGTTTTGCTCATTTTCTGGTTTTCATTTTTGTTCCAGACACTTTGAGTTTAAGGAATAGATGGCTTTTAGCTAATAAATAAAGAATATGAAAAAAGCACTTGTTGCTTATGGTTTCTGTTTTGCATTTATATTAATACTGTAAATCCCCTAACAGGCAGAGTGGCATGATTCAGACTGGATACTATCAGTGCCAGCCAAATTACCTGAAATTGAAGAATATTATGATGGAAACACATCTTCTAATTCCAGACAGAGGAGTGGCTGGTCAAGTGGCAGGTCGGGCCGGTCAGGTCGGTCAGGTGGTCGATCTGGTGGCCGGTCAGGTAGACAGAGTCGACAGGGGAGTCGGTCAGGAAGTCGACAAGATGGTAGAAGAAGAAGTGGGAACAGAAATCGATCAAGAAGTGGGGGCCACAAACGGAGTTTTGACTGAGCATTTGATAGTTAATCTACCAGTGTGAGCTTGCCTATTTCTGCCTAATCATGTACATTATCCACCAAAAATTAGGTCATCATAGTTAAGGTATGTGTTTGCAATTTGCAAAGAAGTTGGTCGTATTTTTTTAAAAAGTATTTCACAAGAGTGGTTGTAACAAATCTACTTATCCAGTTATACCTTTGAATAATAAAAAAACAAAAACTCCTTTTCTTGTCTCTTTTCACTGTGTGTTAAGAAGTTTTTAATGTAATCTTTTAAAATTTCTTCTACAACTTGGCAGTCAAGTTAACCTTACTTAAGTTTTCTTACATTCTATAAAATGTGGTGTATTTGTATTCTGATCATTCCTTGCATATGTTAGGTGATGACAAATATTTTCCACATTAAAGGGCTATATAAACCCGTGACATGATTAGTTAGTACAGCATTTTTGGTACTTGATAAGTTTAATTTATAAGGTGTATAAGCACTGCATTCATTAATTTATTCAACAGATATTTATGAAATGTCTGCTATGTGTCCGTTGCTATGCTGATTACTGGGAATGTAGTTGTGAACAAGCATAGTCACTGTCTTCATGACACTTACTAACAGACAAGCAATTGTGTCAGAGATTAACAAGTAAAGACAAAGTTAAGGTAGGTTTGGGATGCTAAGGACCGAGTTGGGTTGTATTTAGGAATAAGGACAAGTGTTTGGAAGTGATACACATTAGGGAATAAAAGCAGATGTATTAGTTTATCTAGCCATGGTAGAAAGATGAGCTTAGAAGAAGAGAGAGGGCTTTCAGGTAAAGTAGCATATGCAGGAACCCAGAGAGTAAGTCTGAGGACTAAATTAATTCAGTGTGGATTGCATGTAGGTAGAAAACAGGATTTATTATTTAACACAGACCAGATTTTAAAGGTCTTATCTGCATTATGGAGTTCAGCTTTTCTTAAAAACCTTGCAGAACCATTAAAGGTTTTAATGAGAGAATAAGATTAGATTTGTATTCCAGAAAGAATACTGGCTGCACAGAGAAGTCCTAATTGGAGGAGGGCCAAACTGGATGCTAGGAGGGCTGAAGATGTAGCTCAGTGGTAGAGCACTTGCCTAGCATGCACAAGGCCCTGAGTTTGATCTCCAGAACTGCAAAAAGAAAGAAAAGTTCTAGGAGTAATCAAAGGTAGGGATGCTGGTAAGCTGAACTAATGATTGGTAACATGTTTTGAGTGATAAGAACAAATACACTTGAAAAGTTGCTGTTTGCCTCAAATCACAATGCTGAATAATATCTAGTGGAGTGAGGATTTGAACCCAGATCAATCTAGTTTTTGAACCAGTACTCTCAGTCATTATAGTAAATAGTAGCAGTGGACTTTGAGAAACATGGGGTAGATTGTGGAGGTTTTTAGGAGATAGAATTGTTAGGACTCACCTATTGATGGGATTAGAAGATGAGGGGCAGAAGAGTGAAACCCAGATGTTTATCACCGAGGTAAGATACTAGGATAGAGAACAAAAGGAGTGGGAGTATGATTAGTTCATGATTAGATAGTTTTAATATTGTAGGTCAAAAGATTTGTAAGGAGATAAATAGGCAATTAATTGGGTATATAGGTCTGAAGTTAGATTTGTTCTAGAGGTACATAATTAGGAATAATAAAAAGTTGTAATTGTAGTTAATATAGTAGGTAAGATTACTCAGGGAAAGCAGAATAAGAAATGAGAACTGAGGAAGGAACCCAGAGGTATACATACCAGTGTACTTCACACACAGAAGAAAGGGGATCCCATCAAAAAGGGATGAGGAGAAGAGGGCAGAAAGCACCACAATGTGAGTCTTTCAGTGGAAATCAGGACATGAGCCTGAGATAGCCACTGGGGAGCAGCCATATTAACAGTGTTGAGAGTAGAAGCCATTTAGTAATGGGTTCAGCAGAAAGCTAAAGAAATAAGGCATGTTGGTGTGCATCCATAATCCCAGCACTTAGGATGCTGAGGCAGGAGGAGTTTGAGGCCCACCAGGGCTACACAGAGATACTCTGTCCAAAAAAATAAAAACGTAGGAAGAACAAACATCTCTTCAGAAATTTGCCTGTGGAAAGGGAAGAATATAAAGCTGGAGGTAGAAGAGAGGATGGGAGTTTGTGGTAAGGATTTGTATGTGTGTGTGTGTGTGTGTTTGGTGGGTGGGAGTGAAACATATCTGAGCATGTTGATAGTAATGTGAAGAAGCCAGAGAGAGCCGGGCATCTGTGGCTCACACCTGGAATCCTAGCTATTCAGGAGGCAGAGATCAGGAGGATCATGGTTTGAAATCAGCCCGGGCAAATGGTTCCTGAGACCTTACCTCAAAAAAACCCATCACAAAAATAGTCCAGTACTGCAAAAAAAAAAAAAAAAAAAAAATCACAAAAAGGGGCTGGTGGAGTGGCTCAAGGCCTTAGCCCTGAATTCAGCCTCCCACCCCAACCCTCCAAAAAAAGCCATGGAGGAAGGAAGGCACTGAAGATTTGGGAGAAAGAATGTATGGTTCAGCAAGTTCCCTATGAAGACTGCAGGCATGGGATCAAGTACAAAACTGGAGATTTTTAGCCTTAGATGAGAGAAGCATCTCAACATTTTGCTAGGAGAAAAGTATTACCATGCAGGCAAGTATGTAGGTAAGGTAAAAAGTTATAGACTGAATTTGTAGTGGCTACAATGACAGCAATTGTGTGTTTTCCACTAGCAACATGTAGCATTCTGTTGTAGAAATGGAGAAGGGAGAGAGTGAATTGACCTAGGACTGGGATTTTAACTCTGTGAAAGAATGACAAGGTAAATATGTGGAGAACTTTTGTAAAGTTATTGCGGTAATGATCTGTGGAATCTATATTCTGTAGGGATTGAAGAACGGAGTTGATACACGGTATAGCAGGGTCTGAAGTCTGTAAGAGCAGCCTGAATTTGCTATTTCAAGAAAGAAGGGATTGGGGAGAAGACAAGTGAAGGATATAGTAGTAGGTCTGTTGGGGCCAAAGGTCATTTCAGTTGAGGTGGTTGAGGAAGTGTGAAGCCGGGCGTTGTGTAGGTGTTTTTTAAAGACGGTGAAGTTTCCTAGGATGAAAATAAGCCAGGACTAAGGAGGAAGAAAGACTAAACCAGATTCCAAAATAATGATGGTGGGGTTTGGTAAGTTACCAGAATGAAGAGTGATACAGGGTACTACATATCCTCAAAGTTACAAGAGCTTTTACATGAAAATGGAGCTCAGAAATGGGTTTGAGGAAAATGGGAACACTGACACCAATCAGGGCACATGGAATGTGAGAGAACGAGCAGCATCTGTGTGAGAAAGCTATAGGGGAGTGTGTGTTTTTTCTGGAAAAGCTCCATTTCAGTTAAGCCAATGAGGGGGGGCTTGCAGTGTTGGATGGAGAAGGGGAAGTTTTCAGTAGAGGGAACAAGATTCCAGACAGCTGTGAGTAGGGGGGGGGAAGAAATCTCAGTGGACTGCATTTATGTAATTGTAAGCTCTAAATTTATACTCCTACAAAGTTGCATAAGTACTAGTACATTCAGTCAGATTATGTTGTGTTTCTAAAATGTCCCAGGTATCATGAATAAGGAATGCCCAGTCTCTGCCCCCTGGAACAGAATCTAGTTAAATAATAGACGTATACATAAGCTTAGGTCCAAAGCAATGGACCTACCAATGATTTGCAAGATAAGGACACCCAGCCCAGGATTGGAAGAAGGGATTCAGAAACATCAAGACTGAGGTTTGTCAGAATAAAAAAAGGAGAGGAGGGCTGGGCGCACATGGCTCACACCTGTAATCCTAGCTACTCAGGAAGCAGTGATCAGGAGAACTGGGGTTCAAACCCAGCCCTGGCAAATAGTTCATGTGATCCTGTCTTAAAAATGACCAACACATAAAGGGCAGTCAGAGTGGCTCAAGTAGCAGAGCGCCTGCCTAGCAAGCATGAATCCCTGAATTCAAACCCATTACCCTCCTGCCCCCTCCCACCCAAAAAAAAAGGGAAGAGGGCATGAGAATGGGCATCCAGACAAAAGCACAGGTTTGTAAAACAATGGTCATAGCATGGGGAATTTGAAGTAGTTCTTAAGGCTGGGGTCTTAACTTTCAGGAAAGCAATGGCAAGAACAAAGCAAAAGTCTTGGAGGGCTTTGTAGGCCTTGTTTTGGACAGCCATTGAAGGGTCTCAGGGAAGAGAGTGAAAAATACAAGCATGTAGGTAAATGCCAGCAAGGTGGATGGATTTATGTGTCCAGTTGCTCAACTTCACATTTCCTATTAACAGAGGACTAATGAGGTTAAACAATAAGCTTCCCATATCTTTTTGAAGGAAGGAGCAGGCAGGGCAAATTTCTCATCAGATTCTCAGCTTTGAGCTGCATTCAGCCACTTACCTTTGCTCTGCCTTCTTTGTGGATTTCAGCTTTGACCTCCAGTTTGATACTGTGTGCTCTCATGCAGGCACTTAACAGGTATTTGAACTTGAATCAATTGCTCAGCTCTTTGGTTTTTGAATTTTTAAGAAGTAACATTTTATTTTATTCAGCATTAGAATTTGGAATAATGAATTCACAGGTATGAATGCCTGAGAGTCTTCTCTCACATTTTGTTTCTTTTGTGTATTTTGGGAGTAGTGCTTTACAATAGTTTTTTTTTTTATCCATACTTTTTTTCCCTATAACTAATATATGTTCATTGTTGAAAGTTCTGAAAAAAATAGAAAATGGAAGAAAATAAAAACACATTACTCAGAGATAAATACAAGTTTTGTTGTGTAGACTTTTGAGTTCATATGTGTGCATGTACGTATAATACCTTTAAAATATAAATTCTTCCATCAGTGCTATGAATGTTATGAATGTTATATCACATCAAGATCAGAGTGATCTGGTCTGGCAGAACTGATACTTGAGCAGAACTTCACATTTCTTGTCAAATATTTATGACTTAATTCTTCTATTTATTAACTGAGGTCCAGCCTCAGTGTAACAATTTAGCCACCTTTGAACCTAAAATTGCCTTTTACATGTCTCCTTGAGAAAGAGGCTTTTGTCTGTATATAACAAGCTTATACATACTTTATAAACTTGCTGTTTACTAGTGTTCTGGGGCTTATGCTCTCGTTGAACATCGGCTGGCAATAAACATGCTCCTGTACTGGATTCAGCATTACCACACACTTCTATGAAGACTGAAGACTCCTCAAGGGAAGGACTCGAACTTCACATATTCTCCCAACTCCTTGTTATGCTTCTGAAATCCCAGCTATCAAGCATTTTGTTCACAGTTGGTGGATTGTGTTCATGCCTGCGATCCCAGAATGATCGAATCACCTTCCTGCCTGGGCACATAATTTATTCCCAGGGTCAGCCTACCACCATTGCTATGTTCATGTTCAGTAAACATTGAGTGACAGACTACTATGTGCCAGGTACTGTCTGCAATTTTGAGAACATAAAGATGGATAAATCAAGGCTCCTGTCTTAAGGACATCACAGAACGTAAGTTAAAGCATTTTTAGCATTGTTGCACATTGACTTCAACTGTTAAAGACTCTGAAACATCAAATAATTAAAATCAAACATCTTCCTTAAAACTCAGGTTAAAAAATGTGCAGTAAAAACTAATCTTATGGTTTTAATGGGCTGGCAGAGTGGCTCAAATGGTAGAGCACCTGCCTAGCAAGTATGAGGCCCTGAGTTCAAACCCCAGTTACACACACACACACGGATATGGGGCCTTGCAAACTATTGTTCCCTCCTTTTCTTTCTCCCTCCCCTCCCTTCCTTCCCTCTTTCTTTCTTTTTATAAAATCTAATATTTTGAATTATCTTTCCAAACACTGTGACACTCTTATGAATAGCTCTTATTTATTGTGCTGTTTGGACCAGGCACGGCTGCATCCTTTTCGGATTGGATGGAGACACTTATCTGTCTCTCCCAACAGTCTACAAAGCTTTTTGAAGAGGCAGGGGTGTTGTCTGCTAGTGAACCCTAGCCCGGTTTCTCACAACCGACAGGACGAACGTAGGAGTGTCTGTTGAGTTGCATGAATGAAGTAGCAGACCCTTGCGAATTTGGTCCTCATCGGGGCTGGTGAGTTTGGCTGTCACTTCTAAAAGGTTTCCACGGGATGATTAAGAATACACACATCACACGCGTTTGTACGAGAAAGGAACTTGCAAACTTGGAGCAATCTCACAAAACACTGAGATGGCGCCACTCAAAAGCCGCTGAAAGTCCTCGTCTATCAGGCGGGCCTGGCGAGAATATGTACAGCCTTAGAAAGAAAATGCACAACTGACCTGCAAGGCTTTCCAGGGTGAGGGCAGGGTTCAGACCAGCTAAGTGCCGGCACTTTGGAACAACCAGCTAGGCCCTAGACTTCCGTGCGCACGCCGGTTCCGCCGGAAATGCCTTGCTTCCGGAAATGACGGAAGCTGGGTGGGCCAAGGGGGTTGTGCTGTCTCTTCCTCTGCACGCGGCTGAGGAGACCGGTTGGCCTAGGCAGATCGTGCTGAATGATGCCGGGAAAACTCCGTAGTGAAGCTGGTTTGGGATCAGACACGACCGTGGAAAAGATGGAGACACTGGGAAAGCAGAACGAGAAGGTGATACTGAGGGACCTGGGCCAAGGCAGGACCAGGAGCCGGGGAGGGCCCGGAGCTACGGGGTAGGTGCCCGGGCTGGGAGCGCGTGGCATGCGGCAAGGACCAGCAAGTCCGGAGGCTCGACAGGCGGGCCCCCACGAGTGATGCTGTCCCCGGCCAGTGGACGTGCGGCCCTCGGACGGCGTCTCCTCCATGGAGCCAACTTCTCTTCCCATCCGCCAGTCCGTAGGGCTCTGGCAGGGAGGCGGGAGCTGAAGTAGAGCGAGGCCCGGTGTCCCACGTGGTCCGGGGAAACTGGTTTCCCTGCATCCCATGAGCTAAGTGTTCACGTTTAGGTCTCACGTTATTGCTTCAAAGTTAGCCAAGGCGTATAAGCGTGCGTGAAGGGAAATATAAATGTAGTTAGAGTGGGGACTGAAGCTTTAGACTAGCGAGATGCTAAGCTCCTCTGCGCACGTGGGCGGCGTCTGCAATGACATCGCTCTCCCCGCTCCAACTCCCGCTGCTCCCCATCAGGGAAGTATAGTTTGTTTTCCGGTAAGTAGCCCTTAGTAAATGAAGTAATTCAAATCCTCTTCGTATTTATCGTCCAGCTGTCCCGCGGAAGTGTAACAGCGTGTGGTGATGCTAACTGAAAACGCTACTTCTTGCATAGGGCCGCAGTGTGCAGCAGTCTTAAATCACCTTGGTAGCCATTGGATTCTTTTTTTAAATTTTGCTTTGTTTTATTTCTGTGCTGGGATCAAAACTCAGGGCCTTGGATTTTACTAGGCAAGCTCTCTTCTACTCAGCCAAATCTCCAACCCCGGGGCCGTTTGATTTTTTTTGACATGTTGCTTGCTTAGATAATGATTTAACTTGTGATTGAGTCTGTTCTGTGGGAACGAAGATTGACCCTCAACTTGGATTGCACGCGATTTTGGATTTCCTTTCCCGCTGTTTCAGAGTCTTTGTGATTGCTCTTAAAACAGCGATATTGCAACACTGTAGGACGCCCAGAGAGCTCGGGAAGGTAGTGTTCCTGGTCTCCTCACCCAGCATCAGTTAGTATGTTGCCGGATGCTCAAGTTCAGAGAGATCAGAGAGACATGACCATACTCCTTTATGCTCCAAAACCTCATCTTCTGGCATAGGAAGCACATCCACTTGGTTGGGTGAGGGATGAAAGAACTTAGTCTTTGGGATCGTAGTGGGGAGACCAGCTTATTTTTCAGATATCCAAAGGATGATCATATGACAGATTACTCTTAGTCCATGATATTTAAATTTTATTTTCATCTTGCTGGGAATCCAGGGCCTCACACATACTAAGCAGGCCTTCTACCAGTGAAGCTATTATATCCTCAGCTCCTAATATATGACTTGAGAGTATAGGTCAGGCTTGAAATTTCAGGGGCACAGAATTTAGCTCAGTATAGTCTCTCCATACTTTTTTTTTTTTTTTTTTTTTTTTTTTGGTACTGGGGCCTGAAATCAGGAACTTCACCTTGAGCCACTCTGGCAGCCCTTTTTGTGATTGGTATTTTCAAGATAGGGTCTCTCAACTCTTTCCCTGGGGCCGGTTTGAAACAGCAATCCTCCTGTCTGCCTCCTGAGTAGCTGGGATTACACGGCTCTCCATACTTCTGAAATAGGTCTGGAAGCTCTTGTAGAGATTCTGAGGTGACTGCAGCACCTGTCTAGTAGTTAGAACAGTTGGAGAGGATCAGAAATTTCAGGTAAGAGTCATAGCCATCTATCTGGTTTGGTTTTTGAGATTTTACCCTTTCCATGTCCTTATAGCTGAGGTTTGAACTCAGGGCCTCATGCTTGCTAGGCAGATACTCTACCACTTGAGCCACCTCACCAGCCTGGTTAATTAAAATTAGCATTTTGTTTCATAAAATGTCCTTATGTTAATTCATTTGCTCTTGTGAGATAAACAAGGTACAGATATGAATCCCTGTTTTACCTGAATAGAAATGTTAGAAAGAAGAAAAAAAAATCTGCTTAATATCTATCTGTGGGCATATATGGCCTTATTTCTCTGTTGGAATTAAATTTGGACAGTACTTGATCACTTTTTATAGTATGTAGCTTAGAGCTTATTGGAGCATCCCATAAGCCACTTGAAATCCCTTAATGAAAACCAAGTATTATAATGGTTTGACTGGTATGAATTGAGTAGTATTACTAAGATACACTGAATTTTCCATGCTAATAAAACTATTGATTACCACTTAGCTAAGAATTGTCACTAGAAAACATACTGTTTGATTTTTACATTAACACAAGGCAAAAATACAAATGTTGACATGTCTCAAAGTTATGATCTTAATTGCAAGAAATCTTGAAATTGGCTTTGTTCAGTGTTATGTCTTTGTTAATCTTTTAGAAAGCTAGAAAAGAGAAGCCAAAATCTAAGAAGACTGAAGAATCAACAGATGGAGAAGAAGAAAGTATTTCTTCCAAAGCTAAAACAGTTAAAAAGAAAGCAGGATCTTCTGAAGTAGATGTGAGTTCTCCTAAATCCAAAAGGGCAAAAAAGCAAGAGGAGCCACCTCAAGATGATCTTATTTCTTCTAAAACCAGAAGTGCCAAAAAGAAAAAGGAGCCCCTTGAAAAGAAAGCTGTCACTCCTAAAACCCCAAAAGTACCAAAAAGTGAGGAGCCTTCTGAAGAAGACATAAGTACTCCTAAGCCCAAAAAGATGAAGAAAGAAAAGGAAGACAATGGAGAAATTGGAGAGAAAAGCCTCAAACTGAAGAATGGATTCTCTCATTCTGAACCTGACATTAACTCCAATGAAGCTGCCAGTGAAGAAAGTAACAGTGAGACAGAGCAGGTAAAGTTGTGCTTCAATAGGTGGAATGTCTTTATCATTGTTTCAGAAAAATCAGTAGATAATTGCTGTGCATACTCTTTTGGTGGGACTGGGGTTTGAACTCCAGGCTTTGTGCTTGTGTAACAGGTGCTATACCTCTTGAGCCACACTTCCAGACCATATTACTCTGGTTATTTTGGAGATGGGGGTCTCAAGAACTGTTTGCTCAGATGGCCTAGTGGTCCTCCTGATAATGGCCTCCCAGGTAGCTAAGATTATGGGTGTGAGCCACCAGCACCTGACTCCTTACACTGTTTTATATATATAATTGTTATGTTCTAAATCAGATTAGGATTGTATCATATGCAATTTTATATATTTTCCACTTTTATATAAGCATTTTTGCCATTTTTAAATATTAAATATGTTTAATGGTTACATACTGCATCATGCAAATGTTTGGAAGTTCATTTGAATTATCTCTCTATTGAGCATTTAGGTTTTTTACTATTAGACCATTCCATAGTTACCCTTATATCATACACATTTGTCCCTTTTCTCTTTTCCTCACCAAGGATTTTTGTTTTTTTGCGGTACTGGGCTTGAACTCAGGGCCTTCAATTTGAGCCATTCCACCAGCCCTATTTTTGTGAAGGGTTTTCTGAGATAGGTTCTCTGAGGAACTATTTGCCTGGGCTGGCTTCGAACCTCCATCCTCCTGATCTCTACCTCCTAAATAGCTAGGATTGCAGGCGTGAGCCACCGGTGCCTGGCTTTTTTTGGCAAGGGGTTTGAATTCATTGTCTCACACTTGCTAGGCAGGTGCTCTACCGCTTGAGCCACTCCCTGTTTTGTGTTGGGTATTTTCAAGATAGGGTCTTACGATCTATTTGCCCCCGCTGGCTTCGAGCTGTGATCCTCCTAATCTCTACTTGCTAAGTAGAGGCTAGGATCACAGGCCTGAACCATCGGCAACCAGTCCTTTGGCTGATTTTAAATTATGTGTTTAGAGGTGTTGTTCTAGAACAGGCCCTTGGGCTGGTTAGAGCGCCCCAACAAGCATGAAGCTCTGAGTTCAAACCCCAGTACCCTGCTTAATTACCCTCCCCACCCCACTCTCCAAAAAAAAAAAAAAGCCCAGGCTCTTTTATTTTTTTTGTGGATGGCTTCTTTGTATTAACTTGTATGTGAGTTATTAATTTCCTTCTGTGACCCTTTACTTGATAGGAAATACCTGTGGAACAAAAAGAAGGAGCTTTCTCTAATTTTCCCATATCTGAAGAGACTATTAAGCTTCTCAAAGGTAATATTCTTGGCACTATTATTATTTGGAAGCACTCTATTGAAGTGAATTAGGACATATTCTTATTGTAGGACAATATATGCAACCATATAGTGCAGTAGACCTATATATTAAAAATAGAACTGGGCAGTTCTAAACAGGGATTAAAATTTATTCAACATTTGGAAATATAATGACTGATAGTGCTGGTGACATATTAATGCCATGTTAGTGTATTCCTTTTTATTCTCTTCCACTTGAAGCATCTTTAGGTTAATGACACCAAGCTGACTGACTCAATTCATCTTAGCAGTCTGCCTGTTAAGCTAGGTAGTCCACTATGTGTTTTCTGGGTGCAGCGCAGTCTGGTTTGGAAAGCACCAGATTTTCAGGTGCAAACTGGCCTATTGATGAGGTTTTATGACAAGTGACTTAATCTCACTATTGAAGTAATAAATATTTGCTGTATTTGGTACTTTAATGTTGTTCGGAGTTTTCATTACCAGAATGTATTCGAATCTGACTTTGTAGATGTTGACAAGAAGGAGGGAGGATTCCTTAAATCTGTAGGGCCAGAAGCGTAAGTGTGCTTGGGTTCGGGTGGGGCAGGATATATTTCAGTGGCAGATTGTGTGCTTAATGTGCGTAAGGCCCTGGGTTTGATCCTCAACAACACAAAAGGAAAAAGAAAAAAAGTTACAATGTCAAAATAACATGGTTAATTTAATTTGTTCACAGCCCGTGGGGTGACCTTCCTGTTTCCTATACAAGCAAAGACGTTTCACCATGTCTATAGTGGGAAAGACTTAATTGCACAGGCGCGGACAGGAACTGGGAAGACATTCTCCTTTGCCATCCCTTTGATTGAGAAACTACAGGGTGGGCTACAAGACAGGAAGAGAGGCCGTGCTCCCCAGGTAACTAAACACAGAACTTAGCCTCCAGATCAACACAGGAAAACTGTATGGTCATAGTTTTGTAGAGTTCCTCTTAAAGCCCCTATTATGTTTAAATCTGTTGGCTATAAACTTAGATATTGTAATCTGTCCCATGGTTGTGATCATCATCATTATTAATACTCATCATATTCCCTGTGAAGTATAGGAAGTGCCGAGGCCTCACAAATTTGGTCAGGTGTCTAACTTATTTGTAAAGGGACTCTGACTCCAAATCAAGGGTTTTTTTTTGTTTTTTTTAGTTTTATTTATTTAAAATATGTACCTCCAAAGGTTGCTGTGAGAATTAAATCAGAATAAGGAATATTAAATACTTTGTAGAGGCTAAATCAGAAAAAGCAGAAATATTAGCTAATGTTGTCATCATCATCAGTACAGCTCCTAACTCAGGTTCTTTTCCTGAAATGTTGCTCCCTAAAACTTTGTGATCCTCCACACTGCTCCATACAGCCCTCCTGGAGCATCATACATTTGGGTACCTACTTCTTCTGAATGGTATGATCACAATCTCTGAGGATTTTTGTTGGGAACTGTGTTATATCCTTTGGTATAGGTAGCAAATTTCAAAACCCATAATGCTTAGAAAATGTATTAAGATGCATAGGATGAATTCAACTTTCTGGTGAAGTCCAGAGTGGTCAGGAAACATGCTGTATGTACTTTGAGTTCAGTGGTTAGTTTTTCTGTTTCAGGTACTGGTTCTTGCACCTACAAGGGAGTTGGCAAGTCAAGTAAGCAGAGACTTCAGTGACATCACAAAAAAGCTATCTGTGGCTTGTTTTTATGGTGGAACTCCCTATGGAGGTCAAAGTAAGTAAATTCAAAAGTTGGGGAAGAGAAATGCTATTGTTTGTTATGGATATTGTGATAGGATTCCTTCTAAACTTGACATCTACCCTTTTCACCTCATCCAGTTCATGGTGTTTCTTTTTTGCTGTCCTTATTTAAAGATGTGTAGTAGCATGGTCCTGAGTGATGAAGAGCTAATCTGTATGTGATTAAGACTTTCTTATTACCTATCAGTGTTAACCTAAAGACTGCAGAGGTAACTTGTTGAACTCCAGAGGACAGAATCCAGCTTGTCAGTTTCTGCCATCTTTTGCATGCTTGTTTCTTGTTGCAGGGAGGCCTTCTTTTAACCTTGGACAAGGGGTGCATGTTGCAACCCCTTCTTCATTATTCTCTAACACTTTCTCATCACGAATTTGCAGCTTTGTTTTGTAGAGTGAATGTGAAAGAATTTAAAGTATTAATTCTCAGCATTGACACACAACACTTGCAAGATTATTTCTTGCCTGCTTTGGTGGAACTAACTCACATTGACGTCAGAAAGGCAGGAATTTGAATCAAGACTGCTTTTCACATTGTAGTTGTGTGACGTTAGCTCAAGTTGCTTAGTTTTTCTGCGCTGTAGTTTCCTTGTCTATAAGGTTATTAAACCCATTGTGTAGGGGTGGAGTAATTGAATTGGATAATATGTGTAAAGTTCCTAGTATGATTCCCTAGATTACAATAGCAGTTTACTAAAAAAGCTAGATTATTACCATTTCATCCCCATTATATTGAATGCCTCCATTTTCCCTGAGTGTTTGTATGTCTTGTTAAAATATTGCCCTTCTGTCCTGTCTCATCCTCCTCATACCTGCCTACCTAATAGAAAGTTCCTATTACAAGCTAGGTGTGGTGTTGCACATCCATAATCCCAGTTGAGAGGTTGAGGCAGGAGGATTACAAGTTCAACGCCTGCCTAGGCTACATAGTGAGGTGCTATCTCAAAAAGCAAACAAAAGTTCCTATTTCTTTAAGATTCTTATTTTCAGTCTGCCTGTGAAACCTGGACATTTTGCACAAGCTAAGGGAGTTATTTCCTGGTGCTACCATTCCCAATGATATTACATTTCCCTGTTATTGTCACTTAATACACGGGACTGTCACTTGTAACTTACACATTTTCCCTGCTGGATCAGAAGTAACTTGAGTATTGTTATTTTTGTTATTTTGCACATTGCTCTGTAACTGTCTTTAGTAAGTATTTTAGAATGAAAATATATTTAAATAGTACCCCAATTGATAAAAGGACTTATTTTAAAACAGAACAAATCTTTTCATTGATGTCCTTTATAGTTGAACGAATGCGCAATGGGATTGATATACTGGTTGGGACACCAGGTCGCATCAAAGACCACGTACAGAATGGCAAACTAGATCTTACCAAACTTAAGCATGTTGTCCTGGATGAAGTTGACCAGATGCTGGATATGGGTTTTGCTGATCAAGTGGAAGAGATTTTATGTGTGGCATACAAAAAAGGTAAACCCTAAAACTGAAGAACTGATAAAAGGGACGGAAGGAAGGGTGGTGAACAATGATGTAGTCTTCTAGGAGATAAATGAAGCACTGGGAAATTGGAAGGTGACTTAGATTGTTCAGGAAAACTTGGAGTGATTTATCATAAATATAATGGGGGAAACTTGGGAAAGTAAAAGAAACTTTATGTAGTCTATCAGCTCAGTGTATTTCACTTTTAGTGTGTTCCTGATGTTGTGTGTCATTGTGTGTGCACTGATTATAAATTAACCATACATATGAAAACTTCAGCGTAATACTCCTTAAAGTGACTGGACATGATTTTAATTAGACCATCTACCTGTCTCCATTCTCAGTATCTGGAACTGGTCCTTTACGACAGATTTCCAGAAGTAGAGTTACTGAGTTAAGAGTTGTAAATAGTTTGTGCTCCAGAAATTGCTTTCTTTAAAGAATCTTTTTTAGGTTCTACCAGCTCACACTGCTATATGAGAATGCAGTGGTACTCTTTTAAGTGCAGACAGACAAAAAATAGTAGTTGACCTCAGAAGAACAAATAAATTGGGATTCTTTTTATTCATTTATTTTTATTTTTTGGTGGTCCTGAGAACTGAACCCAGGACTTCATACATAGTAGGCAAGTGTTCTACCATTCAGTATACCCCTGGTCCTGGAATTCCAAATTCATAAAGTAGTCCACTGTGGTAGTTTTCATTATAGGTTATTTGCTTAGTTTGCTTAGAGATACGTACTGGTTGGTTATTGGGCTTCATGAGTTGGTAGGTCTCACTGTATTGTCCAGATTTCCTTCATGGTTCCTAAAGGCCAATGATCAGAAAACAATAAGTTTAAAGTACTTGTCACTGTTTGAAGGATCCAAGATTATTTCAGCTGTTGGGAATCTTCTGTCCTTTTTTTTTTGTATCCTCAATGTATGGCTGGCCCCAAGTGGTTGCTGTTGAATATTGTTGGATCCTAGAGGTACTAGTACTAGGTGAGGTGGAATACTCTGTAGGCTTATTTGGATTATTCATACTGACTTTTTTTCCCCCCTCTAAAGATTCTGAAGACAATCCCCAAACATTGCTTTTTTCTGCAACTTGCCCACATTGGGTATTTAATGTTGCTAAGAAATACATGAAATCTACATATGAACAGGTGGACCTGATTGGTAAAAAGACTCAGAAAACAGCAGTAACTGTGGAGGTAAATGATTCATTTAGTTGCCGGAATTAGTATCAAATTGTCTTATTTGTTTCTTATCTGATAGTATTGACTGGGAAATTATAAATACTAAATACATATGAAGAGCCAACTAAAGATATATTGCTGTTTGAGTTGTGTATAGTGTCTGTGTTTTCTAAATTTCATCACCTAGCAGCCTGATCACAGAATCATTTGGAAACTAAATGTGTCTTAATTATGTAAACAAAGAAATTATATGTAGAATTTAGCCACTAGAGGGCAGTACAGAAATGCTTGAAGCTGTTTTCATCGTAGGGTCCGGTACCTAGATGAATTCATTTCACCCAAGAAACATACCTACCTGTATTGTAACTGACTACATACTGTACTTTTAAGTGGACAAAGGGACAAAACATACAAAAACAGTTTTCCTGTCAGTTACTTGGTTTCCTGTAGAAATCTGGGGAATTGCCTTTCCTTTCTTACATTTTCTAGTTAAGTTAGAAAATAAAGATGTTAGATGGAGAGGCACAAGGACAGACCATATTGCTGTTTACTTTGGTGGTTTTATTTAGTTTGTTATTTTCTCTCTAAGTAGTGGTGGCGCCAGTCAGCTCTCTCAGTTGCTTCTCATACCAAGACATTAGATGGTTAGGGTTGAAAAGGTAATTTCAGGTTACTGCAAATACTTACTATATGTTTTCTCTTTCTCTCAAAGCATCTAGCTATTAAGTGCCACTGGACTCAGAGGGCAGCAGTTATTGGGGATGTGATCCGAGTATACAGTGGTCACCAAGGGCGCACCATCATCTTCTGTGAGACAAAGAAGGAAGCTCAGGAGTTGTCGCAGAATACAGCTATAAAGCAGGTTGGTCCTCATGATTGCAAGACTGGAGCCATCATCAATTTCATCTTGGACTCTTGGTCTGCTTTTGATCTGTTTGTCACTCGTCAGTGACTTCAAGCTTATTTTAAGTTAGAAATGAGAGGAAGCTTCTCTCTCATGGTCAGGGTATGCACATTAGGACTTACCTAATTTATCAGTCTTGTCTCACAGATGGGGGAAAGGGTGCTTCAATCCAAAGCTGCATGACAAAGTAGGATTGGTCACTCTTGTCTAATGTGCTCAACCATGACAAATAGAGTTAAGATGCAGTGAATTTAATTCCTGAGTATTTGGAAATAATTTGGAGGCTTTTCCACGTATGAAGGTCCCTGTTTCCCCCTCTTTGTAATACTGTCATCAGGCGTATCAACAAAATAGGTCTTTATAGGCCTAATTGAGGGTGTATTTTTGGATCTGGTATTCTTAAGGTAGTTTATTTCTTTGGCAGGATGCCCAGTCATTACATGGAGACATTCCACAGAAGCAAAGAGAAATCACCCTGAAAGGTTTTAGAAATGGTGACTTTGGAGTTTTGGTGGCAACCAATGTCGCTGCACGTGGGTTAGACATTCCTGAGGTCGATTTGGTTGTGCAGAGCTGTCCACCAAAGGTACGTGTTTTATACTTAGATTTTATTTTGTTTCTTGTGCACTCTAAAACAGAATTGTACATTTACTTGCATGTGGTTAGAAACAGCTGTCTCTTTCTCTCTTTCTTTTTTTTCCTTTTTTTTTTTTTGGTGGGACTGGAGTTTGAACTTAGGGCCTCCTTCCTGCTTCCAAAGCAAAGGCTCTACTACTTGAATCATATCTCCAGCCCTCCCTCTTTATTTGTGCTAACTTGGGGGTGCTGAACTCAGTGCTTACAGTCACTAGGCTGATGCTCTACCACTTGAGTCATGCCCCCAGCCCTTTCTGTGTTAGTTATTTTTAGAGTAGGGTCTTGTGTTTTTGCCCAGGCTGGCCTGGTCTATGATCCTCCTATTTACTGTTCCCACTTAGCCTTGATGACAGGTGTGTGCCACCATGCCCAGCTATGGGTTGAGATGGCTTCTCACTTTTTGTTCAGTTTGGCCTCAAACTGCAATCCTCCCTGTCTCTGTCTCTTGTATAGCCATTGCAGGCGTGCGCCACCACACCCAGCCAATAGCAGCTGTCTTTTGAGGGTTAGGATGCAAATATGACTTAAAAAATGAACCTGTATGTGAGACCCTGCCTATAGAACTGATAGCTTAGTGGAAGAGCAGTTAGTGGCTAGAGATTAGAAAGATGGCTTCTGGTTAGAGGGAAGTCCTGGGAAACTTCATGGAGGTTAATGTAACTTTGAGTGGAGTCTTGAAGTTGGGTAGTGGGACTTAGATGGGGGTAGGCATAGGATATGTAAGAAATTCAAAGAACATAAGGTAGTTTTGGATTTTGAAGACTTCTAAAAAGGATGTAAGAGTATTTGCTCCCATTTCCTACGTGAGGACAGGAAATGTTTCTCTCCACCCCCTTCCCCTTGTCTATACTTTATCCTGTTATACTAAAATAAATCCTTGCTAAAACTTAAAAAAAAAAAAAAAGGATATAATAAAAATTTTTTTTTGCACTACTGAAGTTTAAACTCAGAGATTCCTGTTTAGTAGGCAGGGAATCTACCACCTGAGCCATACCTCCAGCCATATAAAACATCTGGTTGGTAATTTTTTTTTTCATGTGTGTGTGTATAATGTGGTAGTGATAAGATATATGTAATTATATAGTACTAATTTTTTTTTCCTTTTTTTGGTGGTACTGGGGTTTGAACTCGGGACCTCAGCCTTGCTAGGCAGGCGCTCTAATGCTTGCCAGCCACCCAAATATTTTCTTTTTAACTTTTATTGTGGATACTTGCAAATTGGAAATAAATGCCTCTATTGGACAGTGCCCTTTGCAAATTTGCTCACAGGGTAGGGACAACTATTTTAAAGGCTTTAAAAATTCTCATAGGCATTTGATTATTACTGTTGTTATTATTATTATTTGTGGTATTGGGGTTTGAACCAGGCCCTATACTTTGAGCCACTCCACCAGCCCTTTTTTGTGAAGGGTTTCTTTGAGATAGGGTCTGGCGAACTATTTGCCTGGGCTGATTGTGAATATTGATCCTTCTGATCTCTGCCTGGGATTACAGGTGTGAGCCACTAACACCTGGCTATTTTTTAATTTTAATGATGCTTTTATATTTTATTGACATATAGTTATACGAAAGAGTTTCTTTTTTTTTTTTTTTTTTTTTTTGGTGGCATTAGGGTTTGAACTTGGCCTCATACTTGTCAGGCAGGCCTTCTTACTGCTTGAGCCACTCCACCAACCTTCTTTTGTTATGGTTTTTTCAAGATAGGGTTTCATGAACTACTTGCTTGGTCTGGCTTTGAACCCAATTCTTCTGATTTCTGCTTACAGAGTAGCTAGGATTATAGGCATGAGCCATCGGCACGTGGCTCAAAGGGGTTCCTTTGTGATATTTCCATCTACATGCATATAGGGTACCTTGATCAAATTCACCTTTTCTATTTCTTCCCCTTGTCCCCTCTCTTCTTAAAACAATTTCAGTAGGTTTCATTGTTACATTTTCATGCATGTGTATAAAATACTTCAATCATGTTCATCCCCTTCCCTCTTTTTTTGCCCTTCCCCTTCCCACTGGCACCAACCCCCTAACAACCTTTTTTATATTCCTATCCTTCATTTTTTCTGTTTTATTTTTGTGGGACTAGGGTTTGAACTCAGGGTTTTGTGTTTGCAAAGTTAGCACTCTACCACATACTTGAGCCACTTCTCCAGTCCATTTTGCTCTGGTTAATTTGGAGTTGGGGAGCTCAAAAACTATTTTCCTGGCCTGGCTTTGAACTTTGATTATCCTGATCTCACCCTCCCAAGTAGCCAGGATTATAGGCTTAAGCTACTGGTTCCTGGCCTGTTAATTCATTTTTAAGGACTAGAGTCCACATATGAGAGAGAGCATGTGATATATGTCTTTCTCAGTCTGGCTTACTTCATTTAACATGATAACCTCTGAGTTCCATCCATTTACAAGCAAATAACAGAATTTCATTATTTTTTTGCTAAATAATACTCGGTTGTGTCTTTATCCATTCATCCTTGATGTGCACCTAGTTTCCATAGTTTGGTTCTGTGAATAGTGCTGCTACATACATAATTGAAGTGTTAAGTGACTTCTTCCCTCGTGACTCAAGGCACGTAACTGAACTTGCTAGTGTTCTTTGACTTCTGTGTAGGTTGCTCAGGTGTGTGTCTTTGTTGTGTTACTTGCGTGTTTTGCTTCAATAGGATGTGGAGTCCTATATTCATCGTTCCGGGCGGACAGGCAGAGCTGGAAGGACAGGAGTTTGCATCTGCTTTTATCAGCACAAGGAAGAATATCAGTTAGCACAAGTGGAACAAAAAGCGGTAAAACTGCTCTTCTAAATTTGATTCAGCAAGTGTTGAATTCTATAGTCAGTTTGGATTGTTACTAGTTTTTTATTAACTAGTAACATTATTTTTATATCATGGCCCTGAGTGAAAGCTTATTATACACATGTTTTTTGTGGCCCTATGATGTAAGACACATTTAGAAATAACTTTTTGAAAACAGTGGTTTCCTTTTCATAATTTTGAAAAGGTGATTTTCAGACAATGATAATATGAAGAGCTTCCCCCTTTGACTTACTTTGAAAGAGTAGAATACAGTGCAAGGTGAGGATTTTGTAGTGGAGAATCCAGCAACATAACCCAGTCCAGGAAGTCATGGTTCACACCATCAGTAATGAGCCTGTGTCCTCTGGTGAGAAAGGCATTCACCTCTGCAATTCTTCCCCAGACCTATAACTCCAGTCTAAGCATCAGAAAAACCCCAGATGGTCTCAATTTGAGGGACGTTTTACAAAATAACTCCATAAAACCATTATAGTCCTGAAAACAAAGAAAGACAGACATGGAATAAAATCTGGCTTCAGTTAATCGTAATTTAGAAATGTCAGTCTTTTAGTTCTAACAAATCTGTCACAGTAACATAAGACATTAACGATGGCAGGGATTTGGTACGTGCAACACAGGAATTCCTTGTACTGTTTTTGTAATTTTTCTATACATATAAAAGGCTCATTTGGAGTTTTTAATTCTTTATTTTTTGTGGTACTGGGGTTTGAACTCGGCCTACACCTTGTCTTTTTTGTGAAGGGTTTTTTCGAGATAGGTCTCTTGAACTATTTGCTCTGGCTGGCTTTGAGCCGTAATCCTCCTGATCTCTACCTCCTGAGTAGGTTGGATTACAGGCATAAGCCACTAACACCAGGCTTATTTGGATTTTTGAGACAGGGTCTCACTATGTAGCTCAGGCTGACCTCAAACTCCCCATCATCTTGTTTCAGCCTCCTGAGTGCTGGGATTACAGGTGTTGTGCTACTATACCCAACTCTAAAAACTTTTTTTTCACGTAATAGGTACATTTATTATGTAGATATAAAACTAGGCTATACTAATCTTGGAAACAATTGATGGTCATTATATGTTAAATTATGATTCATTTCCTTGTAGGGAATCAAATTTAAACGAATAGGTGTTCCTTCTGCAACAGAAATAATAAAAGCTTCCAGTAAAGATGCTATCAGGTATGTTCTCTACCATCACCAAGGTGTTTGTTAGTGTCTTTGTACAGTGGAGAGATTGGAGCTTTTACTATTTTTCTTCATTCATTATAAACAATTGATAACCTGCTAATCATAACACACTCAGACTGTGCTAAAATAGAATTTGATAGAGTAAATATTCTTATTTCTACTCATCACTTCTCAATCCTGTTCTCCAGAAACTACTATCAGTAATTTGCTTGACTTGGAAATTTTAAGGAGGGTTTCTTCAGAGATGTGTTATAGGTGCTTCCTATGATTAGACTGGATCACAGATACTACATTCTACATCTTCATTAATTTAGTCCCCCACTTGGTAGGAGGAAGACTGATCATTTCTTTCTTTCTTTTTTTTTTTTGTGCTGTACTGGGGTTTGAACTTGGGCCTTCACCTTAAACCACTCCTCCAGTCCTTTTTTTTTGTTGTGGGTTTCTTTCCATTTGCCCAGGCTGGCTTTGAGCCTTGATCCTCTACCTCCTGAGTAGATTGGATCACAGGTGTGAGCTACTGGTGCCTAGCTGATCATGCCTTTAGGTAAATTTTTAGACAGTGAGAATTGAGTTAGCAGTGTATTTCAGTTGTGTTAGTAGCATAAGGAAAGTAATTGTCTTACAAACTGAAGGATATTTAGCTCTTTAGGATCTCTGGCTCTTGACCTTGTATGGCTTACCCCTGGGGGTAGGTAGGGTTAACATGAAAATCAAAAAACATTTTCCAGATAACCTAGTAGTGAGGTAGAAGTGTGAGAATCAGTCTTAGTGTGGTTTCTTTCCACAGTTACTATAGTTGATAGGTGAAATGATCATGTTAAAGGTAGGGTGGGGGTTTGAACCAGAAGACTTGCTGCAGGCCAGTGGTTGGTTGGTAATCAAAAATGATTGTACAATGCTGCTGTGTTTAATAAGCAGGTTAATTTGAGATGGTGTAATATATGAGGATGAAGATATGAAGAAGCCATAATAAAGCTTTCTGAGAACCGTTTTAATGACAAGAAATACTGACCTGACCATGAAGCATCAGGTCTTGCCTCAAAGATATATGAGGAGCATAGGTTCTACCTTGAAGGGTATCTGAAAGTGATTATTCAGGGAGGAAGAGATAGGGGAAAAAGGGGCAAGAAAGTAATCATGTCATTGAAATCTCTGGGTGTGACTACCCTCAAAAGTTGGTTAAAACAAATACACAATTTAAGAATTTTTGGTCATATAGATGTTCTACTTTGAGTAAATATATTATAATAAAAACCAGGGGAGTTCATGATCAAAGGAAATGCTGGATATGAGCATATGAGTAATAGCTTGGAAAAGATCTGCAAATGAAAAAATTTAATTCAGCATTTTTCAAACTTAATGAAAAAGCATAGCATGCTTTTCTTTAATAGTTGTGCAGATAGGATTATTGAGGGACAAGCTCAGGAAGTCTGAAGTTAGATGATCATGAAGGAGAAAAGAGACAAAGATGCTAGTAGGGTATAAGAGATGGCCTCTAGAGTGGAAGCCCTGTCACAGAGCCATTTTATGTATCCTGGCTCATCCTTGTGCTGGATAATCTCAGCTTTGAGATGTGAAGTTTTTTACTGCCAAGGTAGTAGGCACCTTCTACCAAATATATAGGCTCATAAAAGTCCCTATCATTTTAAACTTGATTTGGGGTATGTTATTTCAGGATGTAAGTACCTATACTGTTGCTTCTCATTCTTTTAACACATGCTTATTATTTAAAAAAATATCCAATATTTATCATCATCAGTATGGCATTTCATTGTATTTGTTTTCATTTTATCTGATACACATTTATTATGTACATTTATCATTATATATCATACTACAGTGTTCTAATAACTTTTCTTATAATAATTGTACTCTCATCCTAACCATAGGCTTTTAGATACTGTACCTCCCACTGCTATTGGCCACTTCAAGCAGTCAGCTGAGAAGCTCATAGAAGAGAAGGGAGCTGTGGAGGCCCTGGCAGCAGCACTGGCCCATATTTCAGGTGCCACCTCAGTGGACCAGCGTTCCTTGATCAACTCACAGGCGGTAATTTTAGACACATTATAATTTGGGTTTTAGCACGTTTTGAAAGAGTTTATTTAAATTTCTCACTTTTACTTTCTCATGAAGATAGGAAGGTACTAACTGTATTTTACTTTTCTTAATTGAAAACATGCAAATATGTGGAAATGAGATAGATTAATGACTACTGGGTAAAGTGGAGGGTAAAATGGTAGTGAGATTCTTACAGGGTTGATGAAATATGGAATTGCCCATAGTGGTAATGGTTACAAACTTTGTGAATGTACTTACAGAAAAACAGACTGATTATATACTGTCAAATGGTGAATTTTATGGTATGTGAATATACTTTTTTTTTTAAGTCATAAGCGCCCCAATAAATATATATACATGAATATGGTATAGAACATTTAGCTAGCATACCTAGCAACTTCAGAACCATCTACTTTTTTAGCAGTACTGGGGTTCAAATCAGGGCTTTGTGCTTACAAAGCATTCTACTGTTGAATCACACCTTCAGTCCTAGAACTGTCTGCCTTTAATTTCCTTTTATAAATTTGAACTTTTCAAATTTTATTGAGATAATTTTATTTTATTTTTAGTGGCATTGGGGTTTGAACTCAGGACCTCATGCTTGCCAGCCAGGCACTCTTACTGCTCAAGTTTCAAGATAGGTCTTAGGAACTAATTGTCTGGACTAGCTTGATCCAGTATCCTCCTGATCTCTGCTAAGGTTACAGGCTTAAGCCACCAGCACCTGGCTATTGAGATAATTTTAGGTTCACATATAGTTGCATGAAATAGTGATTCTTTATACATTCTGCCTAGTTTCCTCCAATGATAATATTTTAGAAAACTGGGTTACAACCAGAATTTTGACATTGGTATAATCCACTAATAATCTTGCCTAGTTCCCCAGTTTTACTTGTATTAGTTGTGTGTGTGTGTGTACATGTGATGTGCATTCACTTTTAGAAATTCTAGAACTTGTCCAGAAATACTTAAGAATCATGAGGACAAGTGTTCATAATACAGGCTTATTTTAGAGACTTTTTTTGGCAGTTCTGAACTTGACCTGGCAATTGCCAGGCAGCCCCCCCAGTCCATGCCTTAAATTTTGTTCCTCTTTCTTCTATAAGGGTTTTGTGACCATGATCTTGCGGTGCTCAATTGAAATGCCAAACATTAGTTATGCTTGGAAAGAACTAAAGGAGCAACTGGGTGAGAGTATTGATTCCAAAGTGAAGGGAATGGTCTTCCTCAAAGGAAAGCTGGTAAGTCTGGAGCATCTGACGTGACCTCACATTGGTCACTAGCTGAATATGGTCATGAAAAGAAGGTGGTGGTCTTTCTGCCCAATGCGGATACCCTGCAACTTTTAGTCTATAGCTTTCCCTAAGCAGTCTTTTTCCATGGCCCTCAGTTGCCACTTGGTTACTGACAACTACTACATCTATTCTCCATTCCTAATTCTGCATTCAATGCCAGACTTGAAGATCCAGCTACATCTCCATCTATGTGGCTTATTCAGTTACTTAATTCAGAATCTCAAATACAAGTTCAAAACTTAAAATCTCACCTTCCCAAATTGGAATACTTGTAACACATAAGTATTACTGTGAAAATAATTTTGCCTTTGTGGGATCCCTGAAGGGTCAGAGGTACATCAACTACATGGAGAAAGCCCCTGGCCTAGTGAACAAAACAGGTTTATTGTGGGGCTGTTTGAGGAGGTAAACAGCATGGTCAGACAAGGGAGTTGAAGATAAACCTGCTCTCTTGCCGTCTTCAGCTCTGCTCTGTCTCATCACCCCCGACCCCCTTTACTCAGGCTGTGCCAAATATATCACGCCTTCTCATCCAGAGTGCAAGCTGGAAACCACTGTTTAGTGTTTTCCCTTGGTGTCCTTTCACTTTACTTAGCTTTAAGTCTTCATGTGAAGCTTCCCTGTTAGCAGCATTCATATCTGCACTTCAGAGTTCTTATGACATAAAACTTAGGTGAATTTTATCTTGCTGTGCTTGCCTCAAGAACACTATGACCTGCTCAACAGCAAAAACTTTCTTATTACTGAATACCCTAAGTAATGCCTAGTGTCTTCACCTGATTTATACCTGATTGGGTGAAGGCAGTCTTTCTCATAAAATACTGCAGATAAAGACAGCAGGGAGAGGGGGAGTGCCTGGGTCATTATAGTAGTAGTGTGACATTGTTGGTGACTTCCTTAGCTAGTGAGGAAAGCATTTATCTGTCTGTCTGTCTATTTATTGGAAACATTTTTTGTGGGACCAGGATTTGAACTCAGGGCTTTGTGCTTGCAAAGCAGGCACTCTACCACTTGAGCCACATCTCCAGTCCAGTCTGCCTATTTATTTTTGCGACACTGTGGTTTGAACTCAGGGCCTACACCTTGAGCCATGCCACCAGCCCTTTTTCCCTTTTTTGTGATGGAGTTTTTGAGATAGAATCTTTTGAACTATTTGCCCGGACTGGCTTCTAGCTCTGATCCTCCTGATCTCTGCCTTCTGAGTAGCTAGGATTACAGACCTGAGCCACTGTCAACCAAAAGGAAAGTACTTATTATTAAGAATCATGTAAAAAATATACTTTTCCCCATATTCTGTCACAGGAGGCTGAATTATGAAAAGTGAGAAATTAGTAACAGAAAATCATCTATTTTTCTGCTTAAGTTGGGTCATCCTGAATAACTGGTGGTGCTTTTTTGATGGAAGATAGTAGTTGATACTGGTTTTAAAGTCCTGTAGACCATGATCTTATTTATTCATTTACTTTTTTCTTTGTTTGTTTTGGTGGTGCTGGGGTTTTAACTTAGGGCCTCAATACTTACTAGGCAGGCGCTCTACCATTTGATCCACTCTGCTAGCCCTAGACCATGTTTTTAAGTACCTGCTCCACTTAACAGCTCTGGGGCGTTAGACAAGTCATTAGCCTCTCCAAGCCTCTGTTTCTTTGGAGATAGATTAATAACCTCTGTGCTACCCAGACAGGGGTCCATTTGGTATGGATCTGGATATACCTAACTTAAAGGAAAACTTTGACAGTGTCCAGAGTCTTTGACATAAAATATCTAAATATCTTATTATTATTACTTTAAAGGAGCTAATAGCTATTTCAGGATTATCGCAGTATGATAGCCAAGAATCTATATAGATCCAGATCCTAGTCCTTTTTGAAATACACTTTGAGTTTCTGCTGTTTTGCTTTTAGGAGATAATCATGTGTTGGTTTTGGTCTAAAGTTCATCTACAATTAATACCTCGTGGTTTTTAACAGAATGCCTTGTGGTTTGCAGTATTACTTAATGTTTATTAGTTGGATTAACTTCATTTGCTTTTATTTCTAGGGTGTTTGTTTTGATATCCCTACTGCAGCAGTCACAGAAGTACAGGTATTTTCTCTGGGATTTTAATGTGTTTAAATTGTAAAGTGTTCACTACAAAAATACAGAATCACAGGATGGGACATAACTGCTCTAGTCCCTTTACAGACAGTTTTATTTCTGTTGGTAGTACTGGGGTCAGGGCTTTCTGCTTGCTAGATAAGCATTATGCCACTTGAGTCATGCCCCAGGCCTAAAAGACAGTTGAGAATTAAATTGATACTTATTCCTCCTACTTTTTTTTTTATACTGGTATGTTCTTGTTGAGCCTCCTTTCTGTCCTTTCTGCTATTGCAAACAATACTCTGTTGTACCTGTTTTCATCCACATTTTAAGTTGCTACATCTTTATTCAGTACTGTTGTGAGAAGTATGGTTGTAATGATGTATTTGTCTAATTACCTCTGACAGGTGTAAAGACCCATTGCCATTGAGTTGAATGTAGTAATAAATTGATGTAGTAATGATGAGGACTGCTTCTCAGTTATATTTTCCCTCATGTCAGTGGCACTGACATGTGGGATTATTGGACCACAGCCTTTTTAAACACCTAAATTATCAACCTAGTTGTTTGGAGAAACAGCAACAGTGCTTTTCTCATGACTTTACCAAATTTAAGAAAAACCAAAACAGGTAAAAACAAAACCTTTTTTCAACAGGAGAAATGGCATGATTCGCGACGTTGGCAGCTCACTGTGGCTACAGAACAACCGGAGCTGGAAGGACCACTGGAAGGATACCGAGGCGGCAGGGGTCAGCGAGAAGGTGGCCGTGGTTCCAGGGGTCAGCGGAGTGGAAACAGAAACTTCAGGGGACAGCGGGGAGGAAATAGAAGCTTCAGAGGACAGCAGTCAGGAGGTGGCAATAAAAATAACAGATCCCAAAACAAAGGCCAGAAGCGGAGTTTCAGTAAAGCATTTGGTCAGTGATTAGAAGTATAGGATTTGTGTGGCCAAAATGGAACTATATTTGACGACGCAGAACTGAATGCTGTCATTTCAGTTAGCACATTGTGCTTCCTTTTGACCACTTGCCTAGTCCTCATCCCTTGAAGAGACAGGCTTCATTTCATCTAAGTTATTTCATCTGATCATTATTACTTGTAAGTTTATTGCTACTACTTTTCTCAGCTTTTTATTATGAAAGGAATATGAATCCGTCTCATTTTTCTTCCTATTTTGTAGATTACAACATAAAAATCAAGCATGTATCTTCTACTTGTAAGATGATTTTTTTTGGCGGGGGGTGCTGGGGATTTAACCCAGGGCCTTACACATGCTGAGCATGTATGTACCCTACCTACCACTAAACTACATCCCCAGTCCCCCAAACTGCCTTTTAATAGAGTTCTTCCCTAAATTCACCAATCTCTGAAGGACCACTTTAGCCTTTGAAAGGCAAGGCTTTTATTTTTTTCTCCTGTAGTTGGCATTCCTTGGCCTCCTGCCAAGCGATTACTCATGTGGTCCTAGGTCCTAGGTATTTTCTGAGAATTAATACTGAGCAATATTTTGAAATCAGATTTCAAACTTAGCTAGTTGTAATACTGTTTATGCCTGTGTATGCTCTAGATTTGAAGGGTAAAATACATTTTATGGAATCCTCATACAGTTGTGTGAATTCTGATATGATACACTTTTAGCTTCTCTTTGTAAAGTGATTCATGCTCCAGTGAATCCTGCACAGATAGTGTATATAGAAATACATTCAAATAGAAAGCCAGTGTCTTTATAAATTCCAAATACATGAGTTGATTCCATAGCTTTCTTTGTCAGTAAGGAGGCTCAATAGATGTTTAAATAACTGTATTCCACCTTTGGAAGTTTTAACATTATTTACTAACAAGGAATTAAGGGATGAGGGGACACACTTTTGCTGAGTAGTATGTCCAAAAGATCACTGAAAATATTTTTACCATGTAAGAAGGAGATATATGTACTTGAAGAACAAGTAAAAGTGCATGATAAAGCATTCTCTTAAAGGCGATGACTTCATGGATCATCAGTGTTCCAGGGTGTTTCTCAGTGGCCTAGATGTTAATCCACAGTGTAGGACCTATTTCTGTGAAACAGCTTCTCTATCAAAAGGTTTTCACTGCTTAGAGACTCCTTTTTAACATGAACCATATGGTTATTTTATGTTACTGCTTTGAGGGAACTAACAAACTCAGTGCAGTGCTTGGCCAGGTGGCTCTGTAAATTCTCAGATACTATTTCTGTGAGAAACATTCTACATAGCATAGAATTTTAAGAGTGGCATTGTCTTAATGCCTTTCTAGAAATTCTCTACTAGGAATGAAAACTGAAAACGCATGATCTCATTTTTATTGAATTGGTTAGAACTGAAGTCTTTCTAGGCTCTGATTTCTCTACCTGGTCTTTACCTGTGATTGCCTCTTACCTGAATCACTTTTGCAGTATGGGCTCAGACAGCCAACTCTGTTTCCAATCCTTGAGGCAATATTGTTTTGTTTGAACTTAAGTTTTGTCCTCAAATCCTAACTGGGTAGCCCGTGCTCTCTGTTTTCTGGATTCTCTAGGCTTTTGTTCCTTTACCGTCTTGTCAGTTTTCACTATATTCCTACTCTTCATAGCTTCCCATCAAGCCATAGGGTATTTGATGGTAGTCCACATGTACCTTGTGCTTTACAATTTATTAGATTCTGGTTTTGCCCAAACACTTGGCATGCTTTTAATAATAACTAAAAATCTTCCATGATTTGGATAGGAACAGGTAACCTTCCCAAGCAGATTAACAGGATATGGCAGCTGCCCTTTTGGAAGGAACAGCTAAAACCTAGATGTGGATTATGGACTAACCTAAAGTGACATGATGAAGGGAAAAAACGTTTAAATCTAGAGTGAGAGGGAAGATCAATAAGAATTTCACTGACTTAATTTTTTAAGGAAAACATGGGAGTTTTCAACAAATGAAGCTAATGTTTCTTCTGGTCCCAGAATTTAAACTATACTTAAGTGTATAATTCAGCTATCTTTGGTTTAAATGGATTTGTAGGGCTAGCCTGGGAAATGTCATTTTTACTATTTTCTATAGGGAAAATATTTTCCAATATATCTATTAAACAACTCAATGGACTTTCTAATTACAACTCATTTTTTATGTTAGAGCATTTTGTGTAGTGGTTTCTCAGCAGTTGTACATAAAATTTTTACAGTAAAATGAGTTAATGTATAAAACTGCTTTATGATATATAATAAAGATGTTAGTACTGTATAGTTTTTGTGGCTTTTGTTTTCTAAAATAAAAAGCTTGAAGGTTTTATTATAAAAATAAAAGCTAAAAACATACCAAAAAAGAAAAAAATAATAATAAAAGGTAGGTACAAAAATCCAGGAAAAAACAAGTACCTTCTGTGGTGGTGCAGGCCAGTAGTCAATGAGGCAAATGACATTTTAAGCCAGATATGGTAATGCATGTTTGTAATTCCAGCAGGAGGATGGAGGTTCCAGGTCAGCTGGGGCAGAAAATTTGAGAGGTCCCGTGTTAACTAATGGCTGGGGAATGTGGCTCATGCCCAGCTACATAGGCAAGCAAGGATAGGATTGTTGTCTGGGCATAAAAGTTAGAACAGATCTCAAAACAACCAAAACCAAAAAGGGCTGGTGGTATGGCCCAAGTGGTAGAGCACCCTGCCTAGGAAGCTCAAGGCCTTGAGTTCAACCCCCAGTACTGCCAAAACAAAAATGTTTTTAGGCTAGCCTGGGTTGTACAGTGAGACCCTATAACAAAACAAAATTTAAAAGTCACTACATATTTAGCATTTTGATAAGCAATTTTCCATGAGTTATAAAACTGGAGTCCCATTTTTTTGAGAATCACTTTGCCTCAACATTTTGTGCATAACTTTCTAAAACAGATCTAGTATGACTTCGTGTGTTCTATGGGTGTACTATACATTCAACCAGGACTGGCTGCTAATGTTGGTTATTTTTTCAATTTCACTGTCAGACAACCCGAAGTTAATATCCTCATGTAAACTTTTGCATGATTATTCTTCTAGGTTTATTTCCTAAAGGTAGAATCACATGGTGGAAGTAAGTGTATTTTGATTTTGGTTCAAGTTCTCCAAAGCTTCCCACCCTATCATCCATGTGAAAACCTGTTTTGCCACAGCACTGCAACGTCTATCTGTCTTTGTCAGTTCATAAGGCACAAAGTGAGATTGTGCTGTTTTCATTTACATTATGTAACATTCTCACAGTGACCACTTGTATTTAATTACCAGTTTCGCTATTGGGGTCCATCTTCTTAGTGTATTTTTTTGTTTTTATGGTACTGAGGTTTGAACTCAGGACCTATACCTTGAGCCACTCCACGAGCCTGTTTTTGTGATGGGAGTTTTTGAGATAAGGGTCTCAGGAACTATTTGCCTATGCTGGCTTCAAACTGTGATCCTCCGGATCTCTGCCTCCTGAGTAGCTAGGATTACAGGTATGAGCCAACCGTTTTCTTATGTATGGGCATATATGTTATTTCTCACACTGTCAGCAGCTATAAACAATGCTATAAGGAGAAACCTTGTGACTAGAAGCAGGATTGCTGGTTCAAGGGGTAAATGCATATGTAGTCTGTTACATATTGCAAATGCCTCATCAGAGGGACAGTGCCAGTTTCTGTTATTACAGCAATGTCAGAACATCTGTTTCCCCATAGGCTTACCAGCAGACTATGGTTTTTTGGATTTTGCTATGTAGCCCAGACTGACCTTGAACTCACTCTTAGCTTAGGCTATTGTAACTTTTTGTCAGCCTAATAAGAAATGGTATATCAGCATAGTTGTAATCTGCATTCCTTTCATTATGAGTGATTTTTTTTCCTTTTTATTTTATTATTCATATGTGCATACAAGGCTTGGTTCATTTCTCCCCCCTGCCCCCACCCCCTCCCTTACCACCCACTCTGCCGCCTCCCTCTCCCCCCTACCCCCTCAATACCCAGCAGAAACTATTTTGCCCTTATTTCTAATTTTATTGTAGAGAGTATAAGCCATAATAGGAAGGAACAAGGGTTTTTGCTGGTTGAGATAAGGATAGCTATACAGGGCATTGACTCACATTGATTTCCTGTGCGTGGGTGTTACCTTCTAGGTTAATTCTTTTTGATCTCACCTTTTCTCTAGTACCTGTTCCCCTTTACCTATTGGCCTCAGTTGCTTTTAAGATATCTGCTTTAGTTTCTCTGTGTTAAGGGCAACAAATGCTAGCTAATTTTTTAGGTGTCTTACCTATCCTCACCCCTCCCTTGTGTGCTCTCGCTTTTATCATGTGCTCATAGTCCAATCCCCTTGTTGTGTTTTACCCTTGATCTAATGTCCACATATGAGGGAGAACATACGATTTTTGGTTTTTTGAGCCAGGCTAACCTCACTCAGAATGATGTTCTCCAATTCCATCCATTTACTAGCGAATGATAACATTTCGTCCTTCTTCATGGCTGCATAGAATTCCATTGTGTATAGATACCACATTTTCTTAATCCATTTGTCAGTGGTGGGACATCTTGGCTGTTTCCATAACTTGGCTATTTTTAACATTTTGTTTATGGTGCTCTTTGCCAAACGAAAATTGTAGCTGAGCCAGGTACAGTGATGCTCGTCTGGAATCCCAGCTACTCCAGTGGCTGAGCAAGAGGGTTAGAGGACCTACCTCTAAAGTGCTTCACTTATATGACAGTGAAGTTGGTGCTGACTGGTTGCAGAGCCTGTTAGCTCGCTGTACTCTTCCAGGTCTGCCTGCATGTGTTCATACACGGTGTCTGATGCTCCACGTGAAAGGGATATTTCTTCCACTTTACAGGAAATGATAAGAGGCCAGCTTACTTTCTTGTAAAATCTCTATTTCTTGGCATATACAATTCAGAAAGCTGGGAAGATCAGAGAACTAGCATTTGGCAAGAACTTTCATGCTATGTCGTCCTGTGGAGGAAGGGCTAGGGTGAGGGCATGGGGGCAGAAATTAACAATAATTCATTACAACTATAGAGCCAGGAATAATGGTGCACTTCTGTAATTCCAATACCCTGGAGGCGAATGCTGGCAGATGCTAGCCTGGGCTCAAAAACTAAAATCTACAAATTTCTTCAGGTTTCTTATATTTTATCAGTAAGTTTGATTCAAACAGGAATTGGGTTGTCTTAATTTTTAGGGTCTCATTTTTCTTTCCTTGCAATTTATTTTTTGGTTGGACCATTTGTTCTGTAGATTTGCCAATTTTGAATTTTGCTCATTGTATATTCATCTGTTATTTAACAAGCTTTTCCACTCCCTGAAGTTAATGATAATTGGCAGTTAGTTCTAGAGGTGATCTGAATCAACTTAAACTTGTTTTATTTTCGAGAGAGGAGCAAACATCTAGAGGTAGTGATGTGTATTTTTATTCGTAGGTACATAATATTCACTTGTATCTCTTTTTTTGATGTTAGTAATACAAGATAGTCACTGCCTAAATCCGTAATTTTATTAGGGTTCTTGTAAAATGGTGATAGTCTGTCGCTTCCTATTCATTCATTGGTTGGAATACATCTGAATAACGTAGCTTTCCATAAATCTTTGCCCTAAATATTCCTATAGAAAAGACAGGAGAAGTACTTGATTTTCCCCCCTTTATTTATGTGCCAGTTTTCAGAACTGTTCTCTAATAGTTAGAATTAGCTAGTTGTTCTTCCAATGTCAGCCAATAAGTTTTTCATTATTACTGTTGGTTCACTACAAATCATGGGTTTGCAGCATGTTTGATTTACATTAATCTCTTGCAGTTATTATATTGCTGCTTAAATTATCCCATCTTTGGCAACCAAGAGCCCCCTGCCTTTTTGTTTTTGTTTTTTGCTATTTTGGGACAGGCTTCCTGTGTATCCTAGGTTGGCCTTGAACTCTTGATCCTTCCACATCAGTCCTTCCAGGACAGATTATAGGCATGTACCACAGAGTCTGGCAAGAGCTCCCTTTTAAATTGGTGCCTTCTCCATCCTTTTGACCTGGCCTTCAGAGTCTTAGATGGTTTCTTTGATTTCTGGTATGACAAAATATCCAGGCATATTCTGCTTCCAAACCAGAATCATTTGCATTGATCATAGCTTGTATATTGTATTAGGTATTTATAAGTCATCTAGAGATACTTTTTTGGGGGGGGGCAGTTGGGTATTGGGATTTGAACTTAGGGCCTCACACATGACATTCTACCACCTGAGCCTCTCCACCAGCTAGAGATAATTTGAAGTATACAAAAGGGCTTTCAGCCATAATGCCATTTTAGAAGTGGGATTGTAAGAGCCAAGAGGAAGAAGAAGCAGATAGGCTGAAGTGCAGATGAAGCAGAAGTCCAAGTAAATTGCTAGCTTTTGCACCTATGGAGGCCAAAGGGGCAGAAACAAGGAATGCTGAAGGCTGTATGCTGCTTTTTAGAACTTGCCTCTCAATGGACCTAGAACTCCCATGGTCATCTGATCTCTGAGACCACCTCTGAGAGGCCTACTTTGCTCCTACCAAAACAGTCCCTGTTGGTCCTTTGCTCTGGACTAGTGATATTCTGGACTAGTTCTCTGTTGTTGCCAAGTGTGACACGTACAATAAGTCATTGCTTCTGCTGTTTTACCTGAAGAATCAAATAGTATTAAAAATATATACATGGGAGGACATGCATAGATTATATGCAAACCATTTTATATAAGGGACTGTATATTCACATATTTTGGAATCTGGGGGGGTAGTGATCCTGTAACAAATTCCCCACAGGCACTGAGGGATGACTTACTAATGTACTGGAGCCAATGGTACATTCAGGTTTGATTGTTCCACTTGGATGTTGCATATTATGGTTTGGAGTTCCAGAGAGCCATCTGGACCATAGTCTGGATTTGGGAGTGAGCAGCACATATAATGTGCAGATGGAAATGGATAAGGTTTAGGAAGGAAGCCTAGTATAGCATGATCATTTAAGGGGTAGACATTTAATTTTGTTTTCCCCTCAATAATTCTGCAGAGCCCAGAAATATAATTTATGTTTGATCTTGAGATTCAAAACTTAATGTTTGAGCTTCCAAAATCAGTGCTCTTGTATACAATTCAAAGTGCTTTTGCAGGCCGGACACCACAGAGTGAGGCAAGAAAAGTCACACAGCAGAGAGAGAGAGAGAGAGAGAGAGAGAGAGAGAGAGAGAGAGAGAGAGAGAGAGAGAGAGAGAGAGAGAGAGAGAGAGAGAGAGAGAGAGAGAGAGAGAGAGAGAGAGAGAGAGAGAGAGAGAGAGAGAGAGTTGTGTGTAGGCAAGAAAAGTCACAGCAGAGGGTGTGTGGGTGGGTGTTGACAGCTTCGTTCCCAGGACGACGACTGCCATGGTGACCATTACGTCTTCTCATTGGCCATTGTCGAGCATACAGCGGTTCTCTCGGCAGACTTAACTGGCTACCGTCCCGTAGCACGACTTTCCAGGGGCCGTAAGTGAAGTGTCGCAAAGCAAAAGGAAGGCGGGAGTCCCGACTGCTAGCCCAGAGGCAACCCAGGCTGTGGAGGCCGCTATGGCTAGTGTTCCGTGGGCGGAGATCCGGGAGAAGTTCCAGGCGGCCCTGGCCTTGTCGCGGGTGGAATTGCATAAAAACCCGGAGAAGGAACCGTACAAGTCCAAATATGGCGCCCGAGCGCTGCTGGAAGAGGTGAAGGCGCTGCTTGGCCCCGCGCCGGAGGACGAGGATGAGCGGCCCGAGGCGGACGACGGCCTGGGCGCGCGGGGCCCAGTCCTGGGGCTGCCGGCCGAGGCGGTGGAGGCCGAGGGATCCAGCGCGCAGCGGGCGCTGAGGCTGGCCGTCATCGAGTTCCACCTCGGCGTGAACCACATCGACACGGAGGAGCTGTCGGCGGGGGAGGAGCACCTGGTGAAGTGCCTGAGGCTGCTGGGCAGGTATCGGCTGTCGCGCGGCTGCGTCTCGCTCTACGTCCAAGCGCAGGTGAGCAGGCGGGTCTGGGCTGCAGGCCTGCAGGTGCTGCGGGAGATGGCGGCTCAGGGACGAGCCCCAGGGGGTCCCTAGGCCTTCAGAAGACTCGCTGTGCCCCCGTCGGCTTTCCACCCCCTCCTGCATCGGGTCGTGCTTCCCAGCCCTTCACCATCCAACCCTGCTGGTTTTATTAAGGAAAAAAAAAAATTAAATCCTAAGAGCTCGAGGAAATGACAAAGAATGGCCAGAACATGCTTTTTTTTTTTCTTTTGGTGGTAGTGGGAATTGAACTCAGAATCCTGTGCTGGCTAGGCGGGTTGAGCAACGCCCCCAGCCTCCTAGAATACACTCTTAGGGCTTTGCTCTCGCAACGCAGTCGCTCTAATGCTTGAGCCACACCTCCAGTCCATTTTGCTCTGATTATTTTGGATATTGGGATCTGCAGAGAGCTATTCGCCGGATTGGTTTTGAACAGCGATCCTCCTGATCTCGGCATATCAAGAAGGTAGGATTACAGGCGTGAACCACCAGTACCCAGCAGTGCTGGGGTTTGAACTCGGGGCTTCACACTTGAAAAGGAAGGTGGTCTACCGCTTGAGCCACTCCGCCAGCAAAATACACTCAAAACAAAATGTCCAGGGGTTGAGGCGGAGGGTAGGGGGGAGAAATGGCCCAAACAATGTATGCACATATGAATAAACAAATAAAATAAAATGATTTCATAACATGTAAAAAAAAAAAGTCTAAAAATCTTCAGTTTCCATCCTGGACATATTGTTTTGTTTCCCTCAGAGAATTCCTGCCCATTCTTCAAAATGTATCTCAAGAATTGACCTCGTTTTAGTAACTTTATTTGGACCATTTTCATCGAAATTGATCTCTTCTTTCAACCTTTAGATTCGTATAATACTTGCTGTTTTTTCATTTATATGGTGCTTGGTTTTTTTGAAGTAAATGTGACATTCTGTATTGGGAACATGCTACTTAAAAGTACAGATAATGTATGAACTCTTTGCATGTGCCAGGTACTTTGGGTCCACTCACTAATCCTTTCAGCAGTTCCTAATGCATATGAGCCCGGCAACATTTACCAAAATTGATCACATTGTACATAGACCTTAGAGAAAAATTTCCAAATTTAGAAGGAAACTGTATAGTTTACATTCTTTTTATCACTGCCCAATAAAATTAAAAAGCCATGTAATAACAAGGGCTGCATCTCTTTTGCTTACTGTTGGCCCAGTACATGGCACATAATGAGCATATTGTACATTTGTTGAGTGGATAAAGTTATCACTGCCCTCCCCCTCCCCCCTCTCCCCTAATCCCTACTCCCCCAGTACTGGGGATTGAACTAAGGGCTTCATACTTGCTAGGCGGACACTACCACTTGAGCAACTCCCCCTGCCCTGGATAAGTAAGCTAATGAAATTCATAAGATGTTGAATTCAAAGAAAACCTCAATTATTTTCATTTTTCTTTAACCCTATTAATGTTTTAAACATGTTTATAACCTCTAATAATATTTAAAACCTTAGCCAGGTAGGTGGCACATGCTGTAATCCCAGTACCTGGGAGGCAAAGGGAGGAGTGTGAGTTGGAAGCTAGCTTGGGCTATACAGAGAGTTCCAGGCCAGCCTGGGCCACATAGGTAGATCCTGTCTCATTGAAAAAAAAAAAAAGGAACTTTCTTTAATGTAATATAGGAATGTGTGCTTAGTATATACTGTATTTTATTGATTTTTAAGATGCACATGCTTTCACATTTTGATATCTCTGAAATCAGGATGTACCTTATGGCTGATCAATTATGTTTTATAATTTACTTGGCAGTGTTTGCTTGTTGGTATGTAAAATAATGGTGTGCCTTACAATTGTGGCATCTTTTTCTTTCTTTGAGACAGAGATTCCATATGTAGCCCTGACTGACTACCTTTGAACTTGTGATTCTCCCTGCCTCTGTCTCCCAAATACTGGGATTACAGGCATTCAACAACAAGCCTGGCAGTTGTAACATCTTCCATTCAGTGAAATACAGTCAACCCCTTGATACGTATGAGGAATCAGTTCCAGGACCCTGGTGATACCAGAAACCCATAGATGGTGTTTAAATACTTGTTAAGCTGTATTGTTTAGGGAATAAGAAAAAAATCTATATTTTCTATCTGCAGTTGTTTGAATCCATAAGACCAGAATCCACTCATACAGAGGGCTAACTGTATTTCAAATACCTTTTTTTGTTTTCTTTTTTGGTGGTACTGGAGTTTGAACTCAGAGCTCAGGTCCTTGGGCTTGCCAGGCAAGCACTCTAGGTTTTGAGCCACACCCTATCCTATCAAATACCCATTCTTTTCTGAAGAGTGAATTATTACAAGTAGTCTTACCAAAAGCAGGAATAAAACTTTGATTAGAAGTTCTGCCAAAAAAAAAAAACCTACCAAGCCTGGGCCTGTGGTTCACATCTATAATCCTAACTATTCAGGAGGCAGAGATTGACAGGATCAAGTTCAACGATAGCCCCAGGCAAATAATTCTGAGGCCCTATCTCAAAAAAAAAAAAAAAAAAAAAAAAACAGGCTGGAGGAGTAGCTTAAAGGGCCTGCCTAGCAAGCATGAGGCCATGATTTCAAATTCCACTCCTGCCAAAAAAAAAAAAAAAAAAAGAAGTTCTGCCAAAAAGGGGAAAAAAAAAAATAATGTTGAGGGTGTAGCTCTGGTAAAGCCAGTGATTAGCGTTCATGATACCCTGAGTTCAAGCTCTAGCACCAAAAAAAAAAAGTTCTGGCTAGTACAAAATATAGAAAACAAGAATTGTAAATTTTGGGAAAATGAAATTATTTTAAAAAATAAAAGCTGTGGGTGCTGGAGCATGGCTTGCCTAGCATTTACAAGGTCCTGGATTATTCCTTACTACCACAAAAAATAAATAAATAAAGGATGCTAAAAATAAAAATAAATAAAAGTCATGAATCTGGACATGGTGAGGTATGCCTGCAATATCGGCATTCAGGAGTCTGAGGCAGGAAGATTGCAAGTTTAAGGCCAGCCTGGGTACATAGTGATATCCTGTCTTGATAAATAAATAAATAGATAAACAATGATCATTTGCACGTGCGATCCCTTCATTCCTAAAAACCTAAAGTTATTGACTGACAACTATTAGAATTATCAACTCAGCAAAGCAGGAAAATATAAAGTAAATATATAATATCAGTAATGTTCCTGTGTATAAGTCATAACTAGTTAAAAAAGTATGTTTAGAGAGCTGAATGTGGTAGTATGTAACTGTAATCCCAGCACTTCGGAGGCTGAGGCAGGAGGATCATGAGTTCAGGCCAGCCTGGGCTACATAATGAGACCTGGTCTCAAATTAAACCTACCAAACAAACAAAAGACACCCTCCTCCCGCAAAAAAAAAAAAAAAAAAAAACCAACAAAGCATAGTACTTAATAAAATGAGGTTTTTATTTAGAAATTTTACATTCCTAACAGTAACATTAGGGGTAATAGAATTAATAATTTTAAAAAAAGAGAGATACCATATTCTGAGCGGTAATTTTTTTTGCGGGCGTATTGGAGTTTGAACTCAGGGCCTACACCTTGAACCACTTCACAGCCCTTTTTGTGTTTTTTTTTTTTTTTTATATGGGGTATCCCAAACTATTTGCCTTGGCTGACTTTGAGCTGTAATTCTCCTGATCTTTGGCTCCTGAGTAGCTAGGATTACAAGTGTGAGCCACTGGTACCTAGCCTGAGTGGTAGAATTAAATATAAGAATACCATTATCCTGGTATTCATTTATAGGTCCAATGTAATTCTTGCTGAAATACAGTAGGCTTTTTTTTAGAACTTAATAAAATGGGGCAGCTGTGATGGTACATACCTGTAATCTCAGCACTCAGGAAGAAGCAGGAATATCTGAGATGGAGCCCAGCCTGAGTTACATAGCCAAATCCTGTCTCAACAAAACAAAACGAAACATAAAAAAGAACTTGATAAAATGAATGTGTTTATCTGAAAGAATAAAGAAAAGTTAATATAAAAATATAAAAAGAAATGTAACATAGTATAACTCACTAAACATTAAAACAGAACAGTAATAATAATTTAACTAAATTGTATTCTAATCTGTTTCTGAACAATCTGCTCAGCTGATCTATTTATTCCAATGGCAGTATGTGGCTTTTGTATTAGATTTAATGTTTACTATTAATAATGAGGGATTTGACCTTATTAGTAAAAGAAGGTAAACTAAAAGAAAGAAATAGAAAAATTATATTGGCAAATATTCTTAAAGGTGTTTATTACACTTAGTCTTGTAGAGACTATGAAGAAGTGAATGCTATCACGTACTGCTAGTGGAAATAGAAGTTTATAGAACTTTTCTGGAGATCAATATCAATCAAAACTCTTTTGTACTGGGGTTATGGCTCAGTGGTAGACTGTTTACATAGCATGTACAAGATCCTGGGTTTGATCCTCAAACCACAAAAACAATAACAAGTTTTTTTATTTTTACAAAAACAAGTTTTTTAGAAAAAAAAGTTTTACATTTGTTATCCAAAAAATGTCAGCCAGGCATGGTGATATATGCCTGTAATCCCAGCTACTTGGGAGGCAAAAGTAGGAAGACCACCTGAATCTAGCAGTTTGAGGCTAGCCTGTGCAACATAGCAAGAACTCATCTCAAAAAAAAAGAGTCAATATTAGGATGGAGGAAGAAGGCTAAAGCATGTTAAGAACTATGTAGAATGAAACCTGTCAGGTGGTACCTCTATAATCATATCGCTTGGGAGGCTGAAGCAGGAGAATCTCAAGTTCAAAGCCAGCTTGGACTACATAGTAAGACTCTCAAATCCCACCTTTACCCCCAAATTATGTAGAATGATTTTATTTTTGTATAAAAATTTTTGTAGATTTTTGTGTAAGATTGTATGATCATATATATACATAATATATGTGAAGTATGTGTGTATATACATTTTGATATATATACCAGTACATATATACACACACGTGTATATACATATATATATTAAAAATGTTGAAAGTATCAGTTCATGGGAATTCATGATGTTCTAACTACTTTGTCTCAGTCTGTTGTCTTTGGGGCAATACAGCACTACAGGACCCACGTTAGATTATCAAAAAAGCCGGTCCTCTTCTTCCTTCACTAGGTTCTGGAGGCCTTAGGAATAATTTTTCTCTGCTTTTCCTTCTGATCCTTGTTGCAGCAATATACCATCTTGATTACTTCAGTTTAGTAAAGTTTCCTAGGACATTGGTAGATTGCTCACCCTACTCCCAGGATATATATTTACTACATAAGAAGTACTTTTTATTGTTAGGATTGTTTATTGCTTCATTGAGGTGCAGTTGACATACAGTAAACTGCACTTATGTTTAAGTATACCTGTGAAACAGTAGGTGCAGCTAAGTGTCCTTTTGCTCCTTTGTAATCCCTTCCTCTCTTTTTTCTTCTTTCCCACCTTGCCCCTCACCCCAGATTTTGTAGAATTTTATATAAATAAATCAGATATACTCTTGGTCTGACTTCTTTCACTTAGCATCATTGTATTTATCAAGATGATCATGGTTTTTTCTTTTTTTAGTCTGTTAATATGGTAAAATATATTGATTTTCCAGTATAAAACCAAACTTGCATTCCTGGGGTAAACTTTATTTAGCCCAACTGTGTTATCCTTTCTGTGTATTATTGAACTCAATTTGTTAAAATTGTTTAAAATTTTTTCATCTATGTTTATGCAGGATATCACTTGTATTTTTCTTGTTAGTTTTTTTGGCTTAATAAGCTACTCAGGAGGCAGAGATCAGGAGGATCATGGTTTGAAGCCAGGTGGGGGGAAATAATTCCCCAGAACCTATGTCAAAAAAAAATCACAAAAAAGGGCTGGTAGAGTAACTTAAGGTGTATAGGCCCTGAGTTCAAACCCTAGTACTGCAAAAAAAAAAAAAAAAAAAGAAAACGGTCTGTTTTGTTTTCTCTTTTTTGAGTTTGTGTGGTGCTGGTATTATTTCTTCCTTACAGGTTTGGCAGAATTTATCAACAAGGTTTTTGGCTGATTTTATTTAATATTTTACTTTTTTCCCTATCTAGTTTGGTATAAGGACAAGGACAGAGTATGTGAAAGATTCAGGACCCTCAGGTGTAGTTTACTTATTTATTTATTTGCAGTACTGGAGTTTGAACTCAGGGCCTATATCTTGAACCACATCACCAGTCCCCGTGCCCCTCCCTGCCCTTTTTTGTGATGGGTGTTTTTGAGATAAGATCTCATGAACTATCTTGTCTGTACTGTTTTCAAACTGTGATCCTAGATCTCTGCCTCCTGAGTAGCTAGGATTACAGTTGTGAGCCACTGGTGCCCAACCTAGGTGTAATTTTTTTTTAATCTTTAATAGGATTTATATTTTAAAAATAATTTACATGCTAGCCACAGTGGCTCACTCCTTTCATGCTAGCTGCTTGGGAGGTGAAGATTGGGAGGATCAAGGTTGGAGTCTAGTCTTGTTAAAAAATTAGCAAGACCCCATCTCAGCTAACAAGGTGACCATGGTGGTATGTGCCTGTGAGCCTAGCTCCATGGGAGGCATAAGTAGGTGGATCATGGTCTGAGGCTAGCTCTGGGCACAAACGTAAGATCCTATCCAAAAAATAATTAAAGCAAAAGGGCTGGGATTGTTGCTCAAGTGGTAGAGTACCTCCGGGGGAGAAAAAAAAAATCATATAATATGTCAATAGTGTTTATCTCTACAGAGTCAATACTTAATAAAATTCTAATACATTAAAACTAATTTAATATAAAAACCAGTTTGGCTAGGTATGCTGGTACATGGCTGTAATCCCACTCATGCGGGAAGCAAATAATGGGGGGATCAGAGTTAGAGTTCGGCCTGGGTAAAATGCACAAGACCCTATCTAAAAAATAACAACCAAAAAGGGCTGAGGGTATAACTCAAGTGAGTTCAAACTCTAGTACCACAAAAAAAAAACAACAAAAAAAACCCCACACAATTTGAATGTATTTTATTAACACATTAAATAACAATATTAATAATGTGTCAATGTGTCTAATAGCCTGAATAATCCTAAAGTAATAATGAGCATAAATCATATTTTGAGATATCTGCAAACTAGTATAATAGGAAGAATTTTTAAATTTCTGTTGATACACAGTCCTGAGTTATAATACTGCTCCAGTTTGTTTCCTGTATTGATAATTAAAAGACATGCTGAACTTTAGCAGATTAGTGAAAATAAATGTGTAATTTTTTTCTATATCCAATTCATAGGCTATGAATTCTCTTCATGGGTTACTTTGAAGTACAGACTTGAGTTTAGAGTTTAAGAATTAGGAGTTGGCAGAGTGGCTCAAGTGGTAGAGTGCCTGCCTAGCAAGTGTAAGGCCCTGAGTTCAAACCCCAATAAAAAAAAAAAACAAAAAAAACCCCAGAATGTCTGCATTAAAAATTGTTTTTCTGGTTGTAGTGGTACACACCTATAATTCTAGCACTTGAAAGGCTAAGGAAGGAGGATTGTGAATTCAGCCAGTTTTCGTTACATAGTGAGTTTGAGGCCAATCTCAACTACATAGTAAGATCCTGTCTCAAAAAAAAAAAAAAAAGACTGAATAAGTAAATTATATTAAATTGAAACTCTGTGTTTAGCCTGGCGTGGTAGTGGGTGCCTGTATTCCCAGCACTGAGGAAGCTGAGGCAGGAAGATTTATTGTGAAGGCCAGCCTGGGCTATATAACTAGATCTTGTCTCAACAAAACAAAACAAAACCCACAACAAACTGTATTTAAAATCCTATTCCGTTTCCTAGGGAAATGAACAAAACATGGTAGAAAGAAGACCTCAATAGTATCCTTGGCCTAAAAGACTGTCCCAGAGGATGGGAGGGAATCTAACCCTTTTGTCTAAAGGGGAGCTAGGCCTCCAGTATTGAGTTCTGATCATCCAAACAGTCCTGGTTCACCTGGCAGAGCCAGATAAGAGAGTCATGTAGCAGAGGACAAACTGACATGGTTTTAAAAATATTACTTAGGATATAACTCCAAATCCAGTCAGCTTTACCTTAGCCTCCATGATTGCAGAAGGAAGTTGGCATAATGGAAATCAAAAAGAGGAGATCAGTATAGGAAAAAACAGAGAAAGAAGAATCAAGGACTAGGGCACCAATCTCTCACTCATCTCCAACACCCCCCAACCCTGCCTCCGCCAACTTTAGGGGCTCTACTCTCCCTCTCTGCACTTCTCTGTCTCAATAAACTCTGACACTTTAAAAACAACAACCAAAAAGAATCAATGAGTTTTTGGAAATAATTATAAAACCATAATTTTAAGAACACTCTGAGCTAGCTGCTGTGGCACACATTTGTAATCCCAGCACTCAAGAGGCAAAGGCAGGAGGATACTAAGTTCTAATTGTCTTTGGTTCAAGGTCTCTCATCTCATTGTTGATCTGCGAGGGTTCACTTAAAGATGTGAGTAGGGGAGGAGGCATTTCTAGCTCATACGGGTACAGGCTTTCTTCCTGAGGGTCTCAAGACTGTTGACCTCCCTCAATTCCTTTCACATGAGCCTCTCCATAGAATGGCCCACAACAAGACAGAACTCCCTCAGAGAGAGCTAACAAAAAGGAACACCCAAGATGGATGTCAGTATTTTGTAACCTAGTCTTGGATGTGACTTTCCATTACTTCTACTATATTCCACTTATTAGAACCAAATCCCTAACTCCAGTTCATACTCCTGTGGAAGAGATTACATAAGGGCATAAATATCAGGAGATAGGAATCATTGGGGGCCCATCAGAGTGGTTGTCTACCACAATACAATATTCTTACAAGTAATTTATTGTTATTCAACTAAAGTTGTGGCTCAAATGGTGGCGCATATGCCTATCATGTGCAAGACCCCAAGTTCAAACCCCAGTACCACGAAAAGATGAAGAATGTTTAGGGCTGAGCCCTGAGTTCAAACTCTAGTATAACCAAAAACAGAAAAAAGAAAAAAAAATATATTGTTAATCAAACTCCATTACTATTTGAACAGTAAATATTAACTTTAAAATTATGAAAGTCATCATAACTGGAAGTCTTAAATTATCATTGTTTTTATTTTCCAGAATAACCTGGGTATCTTATGGTCTGAAAGAGAAGAAATTGAAACTGCACAGGCTTACCTGGAATCATCAGAAACACTGTATAATCAATACATGAAAGAGGTATGTTACACATCAGGTTAAATTTTAAGTTTGAACTGAATTCCTCATTCATAATATTGATATAATTCGTCTGTGTACCCAGAAACTTCTCTATGGCGTTGTCTAGGAAGTTGCCTAATAGCTTATTATTGAATATTGAAGACTTTGGGGTTTCTAAAAATAATCCAGGGATAAAGATATAATGGCAGCCATAATCTGAATACAATCATAAAGGAAATAGTCTAATGTTATCCCAAAATGTCATTTAGATGTTTTTATATTTGTGATCTAAAAATTCTGTTTTAATTCCACTGAAAATAGCAGTGCTTAAAGAAAACAAGCAAGAACTTTTTTCAGCTATTTGAGCAAAATAGCTGAAGTCTTTGAGGCAGTGGTTCTCAAATGTAAGCATGCTCATTAGAATCACCTGGAAAGCTATTAAAAATCAGTAGGCTGACTAGACTTCTGTAATCCCAGCAACTCAGGCTAAGGTGGGAGGATTCTGAGTTCAAGACCGTCCTGGCAACACAGTGAGACCCCCCCCATCTCAAAAAAAAAAAGAAGGAAAAAACAAATCTCACCAGAGACTGGGCTTCTAGTCTGATTCAGTAGTTCTTAGTTGGGACCTGAGAATTTGTCTCAGGTGATACTTAGGCTGCTGGTTTAAGTGCTGTCTTCTAAGGACCACTGATGCGAGGCCATGATTTTTTTGTTTGTTTTTGGCATTCCTGGAGTTTGAACTCAGAAGTTCATGCTTGCTAGGCAGACACTCTACCACTTGAGCCACTCCACGAGCCCTCATTCTTTTTTTTCAACTCATGAAACCCTTCTGAAATGCAGCATAAAAAACTGATTGAGCTAGACACTGGTGGCTCATTCCTATAATCCTAGCTATGTGGGAAGCTGAGATCAGGAGTACTGTGGTTCCAGGCAGTCCTGGGCAAAATGTCCATGAGACCTGAGTGTGGTGGTGCCCACCTGTCATCCCAGCTACAGTGGAAAGTATAAAACAGGAAGATTGAGATCTAGGCCAGCTTGGGCAAAGAGTGAGACTCTATCTACAAAATAAAATAATTATCTCTTAGGGGCTGGTGTTGTGGCTCAACTGGTAGAATGCCTGCCTTAGCAAGCATGAGGCCCTAAGTTCAAACTCCAGTACTGCCAAAAAGTAAAAAAACAAAAACAAAAACAAAAATGTTTGTCTTACAAAGACAAACATTGACTTACGGTGAAAGGATAGAAAAAGATTTTCTAAGCATATGTACCCTGAAAGCAGGCAGGAGTAGCTATTCTCATAACTAGAGGTGTGGTTCAAGTGATAGAGCGCCTGCTTTGTAACTGCAAAGTCCTGAGTTTAAACCCTAGTCCCATCAAAAAAAAAAAACAAAAAAAGAAAAATAATAATAATAAAATAGAATTAGAGATGCAAAGGGGGATATTGCATAAAATACCAGTGAAATCCAGAGGATCATTAGGGAATACTTTGAAAGCTTACATTCAAATAAACTGGTAAGTCTAGAAGAAATGGATTCAGATGCGTTTAACCTACCAAAAATTGAACGAAGAGGATATAAGCCACTTAAACAGATCCATACCAAGCAGTGAGGTTGAAGCAGTAATAGTCTCCTAACAAAGAAGATCTAGAACAAGAAGTTCTTGTTCTTGGCTAACATGAAAGTAAACTAGGAAAAAATTGAATGCACTGAGCTTTTAGAAGTTCATTTCTCTAATCATGCATGATGGTACATGCCTGTACTCCTAGCACTCAGGAAGCTGAGGCAAGAGGATAGAGAGTTTAAAGCCAACCTGAGCTACATACTGAGACTATTAACATTCAATAACTACTAAATTTTGTTTGTGTGTATGTGGCATTGTGGTTTGAACACAGGGCCTCAGGCCTGTGAGGCAGGCTCTCTACCATTTGAGTCACACTCTCAGCCCCAACATTCAGTATTAACACTGAATATTAATGGTCTCTATTCTCCAATCAAAAGGCATAGAAAGGCAGGTTGGATTAAAAAGCAAAACCTGACTGTTGGTTGCCCAGGAGCAATACATCTTACAAAGACAAACATTGACTTACGGTGAAAGGATAGAAAAAGATTTTCTAAACATATGTACCCTGAAAGCAGGCAGGAGTAGCTATTCTCATAACTGATAAACAGACTTCAAATCAAAATTAATCTGAAGGGACAAAGAAGGTCACTTCATATTAATAAAGGAAATGGACTGTCAGGAGAATGGACTGTTAACAATTGTTAACATGTGTGCACCAAATGTTTGCTCACCCAATTTCACCAAACAAGCACTACTTAAAAGCACAGATAGTTGGGAGCTGGTAGCTCATGACTGTGCCTGTAATCTGAGCTACTTGGGAGGCTAAGATTTGGAGGATTATGGATTGAGGCCAGTCCAAGAAAATAGTTTGTGAAACCCCCATCTCCAAAGTAACAATAGCAAAATGGACTAGAGGTGTGGTTCAAGTGATAGAGCGCCTGCTTTGTAACTGCAAAGTCCTGAGTTTAAACCCTAGTCCCATCAAAAAAAAAAAAAACAAAAAAAGAAAAATAATAATAATAAAATAGAATTAGAGATGCAAAGGGGGATATTGCATAAAATACCAGTGAAATCCAGAGGATCATTAGGGAATACTTTGAAAGCTTACATTCAAATAAACTGGAAAGTCTAGAAGAAATGGATTCAGATGCGTTTAACCTACCAAAAATTGAACAAAGAGGATATAAGCCACTTAAACAGATCCATACCAAGCAGTGAGGTTGAAGCAGTAATAGTCTCCTAACAAAGAAGATCTACTGATTGGATGAATTTATTGCCAAATTCTTCCAGATTTTAAATTAAAGCAGAATTAATACCAATACTCCTCAAACTAATCCATGAAGTAGAAAGGGAAAGAATGTACCAAACACAGTATACAAAGCCAGTATCACCCCAATACCAAAACTCAATAAGGACACAAAAACAACAAAAAAGAAAATTATAGGCCAATTTCTTTGATGAACATAGACATAAAATTTCTTAGTAAAATACTTTCAAACTAAATTCAGCAACACATTGAAAAGATCATACACCATGATCAAGTTAGTTTTATTCCAAGAATGCAAGTATGGTTTGATGTATGCAAATCAATAAAGTAATACAGCGTATAACAAGGGCAAAAATCACAATAAATACAGAAGAAGCCTTTGACAAAATTCATCATTCTTTCATAAAAATTCTGAAGAAACTAGGAATAGAAGGAATGTACCTCAATATAATAAATGACATATATGATAAAACCTATAGCTAAATCATACTAAATGGGGAAAAACTGAAATAATTTCTTCTAAAGTTAGGAGTGAGACAAGAGTGTCCATTCTCAATATAGTACTGAAATTTCTAGCCAGAGCAGTAAGGCAAGAGAAAGAAATAAAACGGATTCTAAAAGGAAAGAAGAAGTCAAATTATCCCTATTTGCAGATGATTAAGAGACCCTAAAGATTCCACCAAAAAAAAAAAAAAAACCTCCTAAATCTGATAAACACTTTTGGCAATGTGATAGGATATAAAATTAGCATACAAAAATTAGTAGCTTTTCTATATACCAACAGTGAATAGACTAAGAAAGAAATTAGGAAAATAATTCCATTCACAATAGCCTCAAAAAAAAATGAATAGGAATAAAGTTAACTACAGGTGTGAAAGATCTCTATAATGGAAACTATAAAACCTTGAAGAAAGAAACTGGAAAAGACCAAAAGATGGAAAGACCTCCAATATTCATGGACTGGCAGAATCACTGTAGTGGAAATAGCTATACTACCAAAAGCATCTACAGAATTTATGCAATTCCCATCAAAATCCTGATGTCATTCTTCACAGACATAGAAAAATCAATGCTAAAATTCATATGGCATATGTAGGGGTAAATTTGTGAACAAAGTACACTGTGCATCTGTGGAAATACCACAGTGAAACCCCCTTGTAATATTAATGTGTACTAATTAAAAAAAAAAAAAACTTCAACCCCTCTCCCCCCAAAAAAAATCAGTTAATTTCTTTAGCCAGGCTTGGTGGTACACATCTATAATCTCAGCACACAGAAAGCTGAGGCAGGAGGACAGAGAGTTCAAGGATCAGCCTCAGCTGACCCTGTCTCAACCACCCCAACCCCAAACTAAGTTGATTTTTCCACTTCTTCCAGAAGAGGGTGCTTGGTATTCATAGGTTTCTTTTTCTTTTTCTTTTCTTTTTTTTTTTTTTTGACAGTACTGGGGTTTGAACTCCAGACCTTTGCTTGCTAAGATGGTGCTCTAATAATTGAGCCATGTTCCCCAACCCCAAGTTTAAAATTTTAAAGAGCTTTGTTCTTTAATCATAGATTGGGAGCCCGCCTCTTGATCCTACTGAGCATTTTCTTCCTGAAGAAGAGAAACTTCCTGAACAAGAGAGATCAAAAAGGTTAGTAGGTATAAGAATTACAGGTGTTTCCATATAGTGTAGATAAGATGATTGCTCAAAAAAGCATGATGTGTGCTGCTTCAAGACACTTACCCAGGTTGCACAGGGGATTTTGATACAAGTAAAACATTTGCCACCTAGGAGTTACATGACCCTGGTCAAACCTGAGGCTCAGTTTCCTTATCTGTCAAATAAATACAGGTACCAAACAACTCAAAGGGTTGGTGGGCGATCAAGAAAACCACATATGAAATTTACTTATAAACCGGTATTCAAATGAATGTTGACTTTTTTTCCTTCACAGATTTGAGAAGGTTTATACTCATAATCTATACTACCTGGCTCAAGTCTACCAGCATATGGAAATGTTTGAGAAGGCTGCTCATTATTGCCATAGCACACTGAAGCGCCAGCTTGAGCACGGTGCCTACCATCCTATGGAATGGGCTATTAATGCTGCTACCTTGTCTCAATTTTACATCAATAAGGTAAGCTTCTCCAAGTAGGTACCTAGCAGAGTACCAATAATGGGTCCAAAGGTGGACCCAATAATAGCTTGAAAATAATTTCTAAAATAGGTAGCTTGTATTTTATGATGTAAAACTGGACTAAAATGTGCCACCCAACTTGTTAGTGTATTAAAATTTTGTAGCTTTTTGTTGCATGAGTGGTTTTTAATTTACTTGTTTTTGAGCCAGAGTCTCACTATATAGCCCCCTGTCTGGCCTTAAACTCATAATCCTCCTGCCTTCGATTCCCAAGTACTGGGATTATAGGTTTGTGCCACCATGCCTGGCATGTGTGTATACTTTTGAGTTTTAGATACTGAATTTTATCATTGTCTTACATGCTACTAGCCCTTAAAATTATGTGTTACCAAAGACCAGTTATTTTTTGACATAGGCATGATACTTAAATTCACTTTAGTGATATGTTACCTTAAATTGCAGATTTATCTTGTATAGATAGAACGTAATCTTTATGTATTGGTAATCTTGTAACTGAGAATTTGAGGAAGTTGACTGTTAAATGTGGGCTTTGATAAAAGCATGTGATACATTTCAGTTATTTTTCAGAATTAATTCCTTTCTAATAACTTTTTGATGTTGAAAATATCTCTGCTGAGATCCAGAGTTCCAGATTTTTATGACATTCTTCTTCTGGACTGTTACACAGGGACAAATTTGAGCTTCTTAGTTTAATCGAATTTCTTAGTATTATGTAGATGTACTTTTAATAAACCCATTTCTTTGTTATCCTTAAGTTTCTAATATTAAAACACTCTTAAGCCACCTTTTCCAACTAGATTTTCTATTAATTCTTAAGATATCTTAGTAATAGAAATAACTTTTATTTGTATTTCTAAGTCATAAGCCTTTTTGAAATTTTGGTAATTTTCTGCTTATCAGAATTTCTTCTTTCATCTCTCTGGTTACCTGCTGCCTTACCCTTGGGCCTTTATCCTTTCTAAGCTTTTTGTTAGTGTTGGTTCTGTAAATGCGCCCTATGTTTAAAGTATTGTCCCACAGAATTTCAATCAGAAAAACTATTAGCAGGAGAAAAAGGGCTGTGGTGACTGCAGCATCGCTTCTAGGACTTTGGTCTAAGATCAAGCGTGTAAGTAATGCTACTGCATATCAGAGCATTCAGTTAAACCTAATTCTCATGAATCCATTTCACTGTGGTCATCATCAAGAAGTGCCTCTGCTTGTGGCTCCTTTACTATAGCTGTTTGGAGGCCTCTTGCTTGTTTTGTTTAGCAACTTTAAAATGACATTCATTTTTATTTTAATTACCACTTAAAACTCCATGGATATTCTTAATGCTAAGACACCTAGATATTAATTTAAAGTGTGACTTAAAATTTGAAGTTGTTAAGCATTACTTCTGTGGAGCATGCAGTAATTTTCATAAGCACCTCCTCTACCCCACTTTTTTGTTTTATGCCAAACATGTTTCTTAAGTCTTTGTTACAACCAGCCAAATTACCTTACAAAAAAAGAGTGATTTGAGCCATGTTTGACAGTACTGTTTCATTTGTATCCTTATCATCTCCATCTGGTTCCAGTGATAAGGTTTTGCTACTATGTGGTGAGTCCTTACTTGGCAGTGCTGAAGTTCCACATTTACCAGCCACCTTCAGGATACAAGGCTCTCACTGTTCTAGCAGTGCTTGCTCATAGGGAGTCAGTCTGGACAGAGCTGTCATATGATGGCTAAGGGATTGTGGAGGGCCAGTTAAAGTTTCTTTTTGTAAACTGTAACTTTCTTTTGGCTTTTGAGATTCCACACCAACATTTTGATGGATAGATGTTGCTGGGCTAATACTACACGTGGTACCCAGCTGTTCTCACTGGTGACTTCTGAACTTACCATAGTGGAGAGATACTTTTAGGTAGGCACTCTTACCTCTTGAGTCATGCCACCAGCAGTGGAGAAATACTTTTAATGCTGAGATCTAAAAGTCATAGCCAACCATTGAAAGTCTTTCATATTTATTAATAGAAAGTAGGCGTTCTATTTAATGAGGGTGGCTTCCAACTATAAGTTGGACTTTAACTTCGTACTTCTGCTGGTGATCCTGTGATTTGCCTGACAGATGTGAAGTATTTGAACCAATAAGGAGATCTTTTTTAAGTGTTAGAGAAGTTTTCCATGCCCAGATTTGAATTATGAAGTCTGTGTTGGTAAAGCAATTCCATAAACTTCATTTGTAGAAATCTATGAACTTCAAATTTTGGTGGGAAACCTCATTGTCTGGAAATCCCAAAGATTTTTAGAAGACAGGAATCTCTTCCTATCAGAATCTTTCCTTTTTGCCTTTGAAGAGTAGGATGTGAAAGAGATCTCTTAATCTAATAAAAATTAAGTCTTCATTCCTCTGATAGAATGTAAGAATTATTGTGCATGGAACTTCGACTATTTGAACTGTGAGGCTGTTGGAGTTTAGGATTATATTTGTTCCTGTATATGTATTGATTACATGAGAAGAGCTAACTTTTAGCCCAAAGTTATCTTTTTGACAGTTTGGCTTATTAAGAGTTTGCAACATTGTTATTTTAATCTATGGGGTAGCTTCTTACCAGATAATGCTATAATGTATCTTCCATACCTTCTTAATGTTCAGCAACTGCATCGGGCCTCCTTAATAATAGAGTTTACTTGATAGCATAGCTTTTCCCATATCAGTGGACCATATGCAAATATCGATGGTAAATAAGGCTTTGTGTTAGTTATATTCATTCTTGTTTATTTTCTCAACAGCTATGCTTTATGGAGGCCAGGCACTGTTTATCAGCTGCTAATGTTATTTTTGGTCAAACTGGAAAAATTCCCGCCACAGAAGACTGTAAGTTTATGTGTGTGTGTTTCATTTTATAGCTTTTTTTTGGGACAGCGTCTTGCTATGTTGCTCAGTCTGGCCTCGAACTCAAGATCCTCCTGCCTTATTTTCCTGAATGCTAAGATAACAAGCCTGTGCTTCTATGCCCTTGTCATTATATAGTTTTTAATTTGTTTTTGTTTATTTGTTCGGGGGTTTGAACTCAGGGCCTCACACTTGCTAGGCAGATGCTGTACCACTTGAGCTACCCAACCCTTTTTTGTGTTGGGTATTTTCAAGATAGGGTCTTGTTTTTGTTGCCTAGACTGGCATTGAACCAAATCCTATTTACTTCTTCTTCCCCAAGTAGCTAGAATTATAGGTGCAAGCCACTGGTGCCTAGCAGCTTTTAAAAATGTAAAAAAATTAGCCAGGCACTGGTGGCTCACGCCTGTAATCCTAGTTGATCAGGAGGATCATGGCTCGAAGCCAACCTGGGCAAATAGTTTGAGAGACCCTATCTCAAAAATACGCACCACAGAAAAAGGCTGGCGGAGTGACTCAAGTGGTAGAGCACCTGCCTAGCAAGCATGAGGCCCTAACTTCAAACTCCAGATGCTGGTAGTTTACACTTGTAATCCTACCTACTTGAGAAACTAAGATCAAGAGGATTGCAGTTCAAAGCCGGTCCAGGCAGAATAGTTTGTAAATCCGGCATTCCCCCTAACCCCCCCAATCTCGATGGGGGGAAAAAAAAAAGAAAAAAGCTGGGCGTGAGCCCATCAGCCCAGTGACAGTCAGAAGCATAAATAGGAGGATTGTGATCCAGGATGACCTGGGCAAATAGTAAAACCCTATCTGCAAAATAAACAGAGCAAAAATGGCTGGAGACGTGGCTCAAGCAATAGAGTGGCTTCTTGCTTTGAAGCCCTGAGTTCAAACTCCAGTACTGCCAAAAAAAATTTTTTTTAAATTTAAACATTTAATATTTAACATTTTAACCAGGCACCTGTGGCTTATGCCTGTAATCCTAGCTACTTGGAGGCAGAGATCAGGATGATCATAGTTCAAGGTCAGCCCAGGCAAACAGTTCATGAGATCCTATCATGAAAATACCCAATTCAAAAAAGGATTGATGGAGTCGCTCAAGTGATAGAGTACCTGCCTAGCAAGTGTGAAGCCCTGAGTTCAAGCCCCAGTGCTGCAAAAAATAAATAAATCAATAAATAAAACATTTAATATTTAATATTTTAAACCTTAGAAAAGTAATAAGAACAGAACAAAGGACTACTGTACATCCTCTCCTAAATTCACCAGTTTAATATTTGCCTCATTTTCAGTCACATTTTTTCTTTCTGAACCCATTTAAGAGGAGATTACATACATTAGGCTCTTTTACCTTTTAATACTCCATGTATATTTTCTAAGACGAATATCTTCTTGCAACATGATTGAATAGTTAGCAAATTCAGGAAATATAACATTGATACAATTCTTTCACCTATACTACATATTTCCGTTCCATCAGTTATCTTTATAATGTTCTTTAAGCAGTTTTTTCCAGTCCTGGATTATCCAGTTGAGAAATGCATATTGCACTGGGTGTGGTGACTCACATCTGTAGTCCCAGCTATTCAGGAGGCATGGATAGGGAGGACTGGGGTTGGAAGCTAGCTGGAGCAAAAACCGTGTAAGAAAAACAACTAAAGCCAAAAGGGCAGGACATGTGGCTCAAGTATAGAGCACCCTGCGTTCAAACTCCAGTACTGCCACCCCCAAAAAAGATTGTGTATTGCATTCAGTTGTCACATCTTTTTAGTCTTCTGCTATCTGGAACAGTTTCTCTGCCTTTCTTTGTCTTTTATCACATAACATTTTTGGGAAATAGAGTCAGTTATTTCATAGCATTCGCATCAGTTTGCCTAGATTAAGATTATACATTTTTGGTTGGAATACTGTATGAGTAAGTGGTGTGTCCTAATATCTTTTTTATTGTAGCGGGCTTTTGTTTGTGTTTTGCAATGTTGGGGATCAAACCCAGGACCTCATGCATGGTAAGCAAATGCTCTACCACTGAGCTACATCCCCACCCCTTCATTATAATGTTTCATTTAGCCTTAAAAGAAAAAAAAATCCCAGTTAATGTATATTTGAGTCATTTAACAAATAAATTCACCATTTTCACTGGCGGAGTGGCTCAAGTGATAGAGCACCTGCCTACAAGGGTGACACCCTGAATTCAAACCCAAGTACTGCCAAAAAAAGAGAAATCTCTGATAAGTTTACCATTTTCTTTATTCTGTAACTCACTGTTGAACAGTCTCCAAGCTAAAATAATCTAGATTTTGAAACACCATCTTTTCTTTACAAATGAATGTTCTAGAGCCAGGCATGATGGTATAAACCTATAATCCTAGCTACTTGGGAGACCCCCCCCACCTCAACAAACAAGCTGGGCATGGTGGTTCATAAGTATAATTCCACCTATATGGGAGGCATAGGTAGGAGGGTTGAAGTTCAGGCTAGCTTGGCCAAAACAGAAGCCCCTATCTGAAAAATAAAGCAAAAAAGGGATAGGAATGTGGCTCAAGTGGTACTGAGTTCAAACCCTAGTGCCACCAAAAAATAAAGCAAAACAAAGCCTACATGATTATGTATCAGAGGAATGCAGAGGCTCTGAGGAGTTAATGTAATAGACATTATCTAATCAAATAGATGTTTTTCCCCTTTATTCTGTACCTTGAATTAATGATAGATTCATAGAAGTTCTAAAAGGCACTTGTCTCAAAAGAAATGAACATGAACTAAGCCACCATCTAGGTATCATTTTGTTTTTACTCTTTAAAATAGAAAGCTGTGGAGTTGGGCATAGCTCAGTAGTGGAACTTATGCTTAGCATTCACAACCCTGGATTCGATGCTGGTACCAAAAACAACTGAAAAAGTGACAATATCCAATATTTTCAGAATGCTTTTCTATGATTATACTCATTAGTGTTGATTAGGATATTTGTTGAAAATACTGAAATTGGGCAGTATTTAGGAAATTTAAAATTGTGTAAACTCTTTTACCTAGTAAATTCAATTTCTAAAACTCTGTCCTAAGAAAGAATCCACAATCTAAACAGATTTATACATATAGATCTTCATGTTTAGAATTATAATAGCAAAGAATGGATTTCCTGTATTAGACAAATTGTTAAAGTATGAAATAGCTGTTTAATTGTACAGAGAGTTGATAATGATATGGACAAGTGTTAGTGGTATAATGTGTGAAGAAAAAGTTATGTTCAGAAATGTGATCTTAAGTTTAACCTACAGTCCTGTGGAAACTTGTATAAATGTTATCAGATATTGCTCTTAGATGTTATGCTAATTAATGTTAAATCACAAATAAATGGTATTTTAAATATAAAAAAAAAAGTTTACCCTACAGACAAAACATAAAAAGTCCTAGAAAAACATGCAAAAGTAATGGCAGTGAAATACCTCCAGTCTTAGGATTTGGGGTGGTTTCCCCTTGCTTCAGTGAAGGTCTTACTTTTGTGATCAGGAAAAGGTGATATAAATAAGAACACAGCACACAATGAAATATAGTTGTGACAGCTGACAGACATATCATGTGTGTGGTTACAGCTCCTGAAGCCGAAGGAGACATGCCAGAGCTCTATCTTCAGAGGAAAGGAGAAATAGCAAGATGCTGGATCAAATACTGTTTGGCTGTCATGCAGAACGCACAGCTTTCCATGCAGGTAATGCAGAGAAGGGTTGCCTTTTTCTTTCTTAAAGGAACAGATGTGAGTAAAAGCTTACACTGGGGGTTGTGATTATTGGGCTCACTGTGTGTTAATTATGGAAGTATGTAGAATGCTGTCATATATATTTGTTACTTACCCTCCATTTCCATTTTTTAAAATATTGCTCCTCAGATTCTGCTTTCTCTATAGATCATATAAATCTTTCACCTTTTACTAAAATCTTATTCAACATTCAAGGGCTGTTATTTCTTCTTCTTTTTTTTTTTTTTTTTCGGTACTGGGGTTTGAACTCAGGACTGCATGCTTGTGAAGCAGGCACTGTAGCACTTGAGACATGCCTCCAGTCTGAGGCCTACCTTTTCTTTTTCCTTTTCCTTTTCTTTTTTTAAAACAGTCTCACTATGTAGCCTGGGCTGGCCTTGAACTCTGGATCCTCCTGTCTTGGCCTCCCAACTGGTAAGGTAACAGACATATGCCACTAAGCCTGTCAAGACCTAAGTTAAATACCACCTCTTTCCCAGCTCTCAAGAGGCTGAGGTGGAAGGATTGTGAGTTCAAGGCCTGGGCTACATATTGAGACCTTGTCTCAGAAACTAAGCAAAAATAATGCTTTCTCCTGGCATACTTTCCTTTGGTTAGACTATAAGATCCTTGACAGGTGGTGTCTATATCAAATTCATATTATGTTATTATCTCCAGACACAATAAGTTCTAAAAATACTTACTGAATGAATTATTCTTTACCTCCTACAGATAGCATCTTCTCCTTTAAACGCCATAGAATTTCTTACTCTTTCCTAAGTGATTTGACTCTGTTGTGTTTTATCCCTGTTGTATGTTTTTATTGTTCAACGTGAACTAGCTGCCAGCACATGAAACAAGAACATTTTACAACATTGAGGTTGTCAGTGTATGTGTAGCTACAGAATCGGGAGAAAATTCGAAATCAGAGCTAAACAATCCAGTGTTATTTTTTTTTTTTTCTGAAATGAGATTTTTGACATTAATATAAATTTATCTTAATGTTATTTCTAAACATGGTAATTTTCTAATGGCTATGGCTTCCTTTAATACTTGTAATACTATTTTATCTGAAAAGTAAAGTTTTCTTCAAGAAAAAAAAGCACCAGAAGCCCTTCTGAAAAAATCTGCTTATAAAGAATTCTAGCCAGCTGGGTGAGGTGGCACCCATCTGTATTCCCAGGACTCCAGAGGCTGAGACAGGAAGGTCAGCCTAGGCTACATACCAAGGTCTAGGCCAGACTAGACTGTATAGTGAGATTCTGTCACAAAAATAGACAGATAGATAGATAGATAGATAGATAGATAGATAGATAGCAATTCCAGTCAATTAAGCCATACATTGCAGATGAAGCTTGAGAACCACTACTTAGGGAGATGCCAGTTGCTTTTCACTGTTACAATGCTCAGGGGCTGGCAGAGTGGCTCACACAGTAGAGCGCCTGCCTAACAGGTGTGAAGTCCTAAGTTCAAACCCCAGTACCACCAAAAAAAAGAAAGAAGTCCCTACTGTTTTTTTTTTAAATCTTATTCCTTTATCTAGTTTTGAACTATAAGCCACTCATGGTCAGGAAATAATCCTTATTAATCTTAATATGCTTTGCAGTGTTATCTTATGCACTGATAAAGCCTAAAATAGTAGCTTTCAAAAAGTAGCCACTGTGGTAATTGAAGTATGGCTGCAGAAGTGATCACACTGATGAACATGGACTCTGCAGATGCACTGTGTGGGTATAAACCCAGCTCTGCCACTGTATAGCTCTCTCACAAGGGAGCTAGAGATGCCAACACCTACTTAATATCGATGTATCTAAAGACCTAGAAAAACATCTAAGATACACTAAATGTTCAAAAAATGTAAACTATCATCATCATTATTATTAATCTATACTGAATTGTAGTTCTTAAGCACTAAGGAGGAAAATAAAATAAGTTATTACTCAGTGTACATATGTAGCAGAATTTCCTATTATTTTATGCCTTCGTTTTGTTTTTTTTTTTTTAACAATGCTGGTATTTTGAATTCAGGGCCTCACTGTTGCTAGGCAAGTGCTCTATGACTTGAGCCACAGACCCTCCCAGCCCAATATATATATACTTTTTGTTACTAACTGGATCTCATGGCAAAATCTAATAGTAAATAATATAGAACTTTGTGAAACTACTAAACAAAAGAAAAGAAACCTCAATATTCCAGAGACATAGGTATTGAAAAGTTGAGATCATTTTAGAGAAAGAAGGTAGAGATAAGGTGTATTAGAGATAAATAGAGAAGTTGGCCAGTAAGAGCTGTCAGCTTTCCCCTTCGGGTAAGGAAGATCGTGGAAAGGGACAGTTGCAGGGATTATTGGCTCAAAAAAAGTGGGCTAATAGGAAAAAGCAGCCTAGAGATTATGGGAATAAACAAGAGTTAAAAATTTAGGACCTGCATTTGATGTAATAGTGTCAAGCAGAATGTACTGTGGTTTAACTCTTACCTTTTGGACTTCAATTTTCAATCTGGGAACGAGATCTTTATTTGGTTAGTTTAAACTCAAGTTTTACCATGCTGCTAAATTACTCAGATTTTTCCTTAAACTGACTCCCTCCTTCCCTTCCCTCCCTTGCCTTTCTTCTTTCTTCACTTCATCCTTTGATCATCTGTGTATTTATCTGAAAAGCTTAATTCAAGCTTTAAAACATATGAATTTGTTCAATTAAGCATTTTTTATACTAACTCTGTGCTAGTTATTATCCGAGATTCAAGAGATGTCATGATAAACAAAAATAGACCTGGTCTTTGACTTCATACAAAAGTCCAACTTTGCTTAGTTCTACAAAGGAGAGGCACATACCATGAGAAAGCACAAGAGGAGGGATAACATCTGAGGCAGCCTCCAGGGATGAGTAGGAGTGCCTAGTCTGAGAAAAGAAAGTGTATCATTCCAAGGAGCTGAAGCAGCATGTTTACAAATTCTGTGGCAGAAGGGAGGGGTGGGGCAAGACCAGTGGTATTGGAGCAGAGCAAAGAGGGCATTTGATAAAAGACAAAGTTAGAGTCAGAAAGGGGCTAGAACAAGCAGGGCCTTGGACTGTTGTCTATTGTAAGAGCATTTGAAAGGTTTTTGGAAAGATCACTAGGGAGACAATGTCAAATGAAAAGAAGAAAAGGCCTTGGGGCTGAACATTGAGGGATCTAATGTTTAATTCTACTAGTCAAAGAGATTGCTCATTTTTTTCTTTATATCCTGGATATTGAACTCAGGGCCTTACACATACTAGGCAGGAGCTCTACTGTTGAGTACAGCCCCATCCCGAAAAAAGCTTACTCTATTTTTAACCATCGCTTTTTTATATTTAACTATTTTTGTTGTTGTTGTTGTCATTCCCATCTCCCCCAGGTAAAGAAGAGAACTTCATTTGTGAAAGTAGATTTAACTCTGTCTTCACTTTAGTGTCTTCAAGGGACTTAGAGCATTCTCTATAATATATTTTAAGAATCTTAATCCCAGTGAAATAGTTTTAGGGTGTAGATTACAGTGTTACTATAATTTTAAAAAGTAAATACTACAAATATATAACATGTATCTAATGTTTCACAATTTTCAAAGTACTTAAATATGCAACATTCATCATATTTGAAGGAGTAAATGAATTCGAGTTCCCAGAGAGTATTAGTATTATATAAGTGGTTTGTCTATTTTTTATTTAAATACTTTTTTCACATTTCTTGAATGTTTAATGTAATTGGAAGAAAGTAGTTTTAAAGGGTGTGTCATGCCAGGCATGGTGGTCAAATCTTAGCACTTGGGAGGCTGAGATAGGAGTCAAGAGTTTGAAGTCAGTCTGAGCTACATGGTAAAACTCTTTCAAAAAAAAAAAAAGATCTTTAAGATTATCCCATGGGCTGATTGATGATGTAGCTCAGTGATAGAGTATTTGTCAAGAATGCCCAAGGCCCTGGGCTCTATCCCTAGAACAAAAAACAACAAAACAAAATTACAGTACCTCCTTCAGCTAGACTAGGAAGTAAAAGAGTTTTCTTTACTCTTAGGTTTACACTTCAAGTTTTATTTAATAGCAGGAGATGAATATCCTACTTAACCATAATTTATCTTTTTTCTTTCAGGACAACATAGGAGAGCTTGATCTTGACAAACAGTCTGAACTTAGAGCTTTAAGGAAAAAAGAACTAGATGAGGAAGAAAGCATTAGGAAAAAAGCTGTGCAGTTTGGAACTGGTGAACTGTGTGATGCCATCTCTGCAGTAGAAGAGAAAGTGAGATATTTGAGACCTTTAGATTTTGAAGAAGCCAGGGAACTTTTCCTATTGGGTCAGCACTATGTCTTTGAGGCAAAAGAGTTCTTCCAAATTGATGGGTATGTCACTGACCATATTGAAGTTGTTCAAGATCACAGTGCTCTGTTCAAGGTGCTTGCATTCTTTGAAACTGACATGGAGAGAAGGTGCAAGATGCATAAACGCAGGATAGCCATGCTAGAGCCCCTAATTGTGGACCTGAATCCACAGTATTACCTGTTAATCAACAGACAGATTCAATTTGAAATTGCACATGCTTATTATGATATGATGGATTTGAAGGTTGCCATTGCTGACAAACTAAGGGATCCTGATTCACACATTGTAAAAAAAATCAATAATCTTAATAAGTCAGCATTGAAGTACTACCAGCTCTTCTTAGATTCCCTGAGAGACCCAAATAAAGTATTTCCTGAGCATATAGGGGAAGATGTTCTTCGCCCTGCCATGTTAGCTAAGTTTCGAGTTGCTCGTCTCTATGGCAAAATCATCACTGCAGATCCCAAGAAAGAGCTAGAAAATTTGGCAACATCATTGGAACATTACAAATTTATTGTCGATTACTGTGAAAAGCACCCTGAGGCTGCCCAGGAAATAGAGGTTGAGCTAGAACTTAGTAAAGAGATGGTTAGTCTTCTCCCAACAAAAATGGAGAGATTCAGAACCAAGATGGCCCTGACTTAATCTTCGTTTTTAAAGAAAGGAAATGTGCAATGCTGAAGTGATTCCTGCTCCCCAAATAAGCGTTTGTGATGCTTACCAACAGGGCCAGACCAGTAGCCTGACCATGAAAAATAGATCACCTGAGTCTTTGCTAAGCTCTTAAGCAAATAAAGTTAATTAATAATTTATACATAATGATGTAAGTTGTCTTGTTAAAGTGACATGTGATTTGCATTTTAGATTGCTTGTTCCCTATTTAACATAAACATTTCCTGGGCTGGACATGAGGTACATGCCTATAATTCCAGCATTTGGAAGTCAGAAGCAGGAGGATCTTGAGTTTGAAGTCAACCTGGGCTACATAGCAAGTTGAAGGCCAGCATAAGCAACGTAGTGAAACCTTTCAAAAAAAAAAAAAAACAAAAAAAAGAAAAAATACATATGTATGTATATATGTATGTATATATATTCGTATATGTATATATCTAAACATTTCCTGCCTTAGTTTCTAAATGTAGATCCTTTGTTGGCTAGTACTTGATAGATTCCTTACAAAGAGGAATACTGATTAAAATACCTAGTAGACAAGCCTGTTACTGTATTAAATTTGAGACAATAACTTCCTATAGTTAGTCTTTCTAAAATACTTACTTTCCTAAATTCTGAAAGAAATCTGTCCCTTTCAAAAATACTAAAAAGTAAGTTATGTTGTTTCAAAGTGTTGTAAAATGGTTTATCTCATTATAGGGGTAAAGCCCTTGGAAATACAATAAATTGACTTGTTTCAACTAATATAAACTTCATTTCCTCTTTTGTTTTCTTGTAAAAATTGGTTTTATTTTTTGACACTTCAGAGGCCGAGAAGAATATTTCTTTGACTGCAATGAGAAAACATTAAATAAGTGGAAAATTTTATTGACTATAGTTTATAACCAGAGGATCCTTATTTAGGATCCTTCTATATTTAGAAGCCTTAAGTATTGTTGAAAAATGACATGTACATCCTAATTAAACATTTTTAATATATTAGTCATTTTAAGAATTGCAGAATTGAGGACTGGAGGTATAGCTATGAACCCCTGGACAGCAGAAAAAGAAGGAGAAGAAATTAGTCATTTGTGGGTAAATGGATAGAACTGGAAATCCTCATGTTAAGTGAAATAAGCCAGATTGAGAAAGACAAATATCACATATTCTCGCTCATATGCAAAATCTAGACCTAAAAATGAAAAAAATAATGACTAGTATGAGTGTAAAGTGGGGGGGACTGCTTGGGGTGAGAACAAATGTGAGGAGGAAGGTGAAAGAGTAAAGAGCAGGTGAATATGGTCAAAGTACTTCATACACATGAAGTATGTATGTAAATAATGTTAAAAATTGTGAGTAAAATGGGGAGGGGATAAGAAAGTACTAGAAATTCACTAGAGGTGAATTTGATCAAAGTTCATTAAAAATGTAATATAGAGAATAGCTCTTTGTGTTTGCTTGCCTATTATTAATGTTTGCTTCCGAAAGCTTAGGTTAGATGTAGCGTCACATCAAAGTCCTCTTTGAGCCGGCTGCTGGTGGCTTACACCTGTAATCCTACCTACTCAGAAGGCAGAGATCAAGAGGATCTTGGTTCAGAGCCTGTCTTGAAAAAACCATCACAAATATAGGGCTGGTGGAGTGGCTGAAGGTATAGGTCCTGAGTTCAAGCCCCAGTACCACAAAAAAGTAAGTCCACTATGGAGCAGGTTCTGTTCTCACTTTTCTGATTATAGAGGATATAGTGATGAGCAAGGTAAACAAAGAACAGTTCTGCTTTCATGGAGCAAGTAAACAAAAAGCAAGATAATTTCAGGTCATAAGTGCTATTAAGCAGGGAAAGTCAAGTTGATATGGTAAATATTTACAGGAAGGCATGTTTTAGCTATGGTGACCTAGAAAAACCTTTGTGAAGATGGAAGGAACACTGGGCTGAGAAGTAAATGGAGAAGAAAGCAGCCATATAATCTTTGATAGAGCACACCAAGAGAATGGTAGATAGGCCACACCAATGTTGGGAAGGAGTTTGGCATTTTAGAAGATGCATCTAGAGCAGATGGAATGAGGAGTGGGAGGGGGAGCAGGAGTGGAGAGTTGAGAGGCAGGGGGCTCTGTAAGTCACAGAAAATGTTTGGCTCTTATTCTAGGTGCAGAGGGTACTTTGTAGGATTTTAAGAAGAGGGCTGGAGTGATACTGTTAGAACTTTTAGGCATGTACTCCTAAAAAGGAGAATAGGTTGAAGAAGGGGAAGTGGCAGAGAGGAAGCAGGGAGAGAAACGAGGCTTTATTAAGATGAGTCCAAGGGAGAGACAAAAGTGGTTTCTCTGGGGTCATGGAGTGGGGATGGAGAGAAGTGGATGAATTCAGTGTGTTTTGGAAGTAGACCCACAGGACTCGCTAAGGGGTTAAATGGAGGACAAAGAATCAAGACCAAATGAAGGTGAGGAAGAGTGCAAGCGATGCATATTCCTATGCAGGTTGTGTGGTTAGGCCATGTTGACTTTAGGATGTTGAGCTCGAGATGAAATGATTGCTGTTTAACACAACATCCTTTTGCCAGGTGTGGCGGTGTACACCTGTATAATTCCAGCATTTGGGAGGCTGAGGCAGGAGGATATCAAGTTCCAGGCCAGGCTAAGCTACATAGTGAAACCCTGGCTCAAAATAAGTAAATAAATAAAATTTTCAAAAATCCTTTCATCAGACCTTTCTTAAAAGGAAGGATCAAGGGGAGACAAACTAGGGAGGGAGGTTCCTTGAGGGTATGACTCTGCATCTGTCTTCATAAGAAAATCCCTCTGTCCTAAACCTTTCTTGAGATGGCCATTTTTCTACCATCCTCATTCGGCTTCATAGCTTCATTTATGGATTCTTTTGCTTAACCACTACTTACTGAGCTCCTTCTGTGTGCTAAGCTTTGAGAATATGATGTCTAAGACAAACTGTGTTAGATCCTAGCTTTTCTTCTTCCTGATTGTGTTATTCAATTTAATCCCAAAAGATGAAATTCAAGTCTAACAGGCAGTGATCTTAAAGCCAGTCTTTATCCCCAAAGCCATCAGCGACAGATGCTCCTCTGTCATTTGCTGTCTGCAGTGACTTCTATGCTTTAAAGACTTTGTCTTTAGTTAGCAATAGAAAATCTTGCTGGATGCGTTGCAGCCCTGTCCTCTGATCACACAGCTCGTTCTTCAAATACTGCTTCCCCAACCATGGTTCCCCTAAAACAGCTGCCTTCTGAGATTTTGTCACTTCTCTAGAGAGTACTTCTTTGTGGTCTCAAGGCCTCTTTGCGTGTGACTTTGTGGAAGACACCAAGGAGCTGTTTGTGTGGGTTATATCTTTCTATGTTTACCCTACTTAAAATTAAAGGTGAGCATTTTTAACAATTTATGTAAAAATTACTAGTAAGAACCTGGCACTGGCAGCCCCCACCTGTAATCCTAGCTACTCAGGAGGCAGAGATCAGGAGGCTCGAGGTTCAAAGCCAGCCTGGGCAAATAGTTTAAGAGACCCTATCTTGAAAATACCCATCACAAAAAAAGCAGGGCTGGTGGAATGGCTGAAGGTGTAGGCCCTGAGTTCAAACCCCAATCTGCAAAAGAAAAGACTAGTAAGCCTACCACAACATTTAAACATAACCGTTCATGAAAATAATTCTCAAAACAAAAATGAAAATAGTGATGAATGCTATATTTCATATTTTTGCAAATATCTTTAACAACTGGCTTAATAGCAAACAGTTTGAGCTAATAAAAATGCTTCTTTGACACAAAACTCTTGTTTCAAAGGAGTTGTCTAAATCTTACTGGATTTAGACAACTAATAAATAAAGGCATCCTTCATTCATATACTTCATATACTTCACCCACTTAGCAATACGTATCACTGTTCAATGATACATAATGAATGCCTTTTACCAGAAGACTGTATGTTACCAGTTAGTCCTGCAGGAGTTTGAGAAAAACATTTAAATTTATATGTGAAGTTGAAGATCTTCCAAATAACATAGGCTATATTTTGGGAAAATCCTAATTATTTAGAATAGATTTGGGGACTGGGAATGTAGTTTAGTGTGAGTATGTGCCTAACATACCGTGGCACAAGGCCTTGGGTTCAAATCCCCAGCACTGCAAAAAGTGGAAAAAAAAAACCCATATCTCTTTAAATGCTAAATGCTATTCCCATTCCTTTGCTATTGTTCTCTGGTGGGGTGGGGTGGGGTTGCACACTGGGTGAAAGAGAGATTTTTTCCTTTACAATTCCTAGGGGAAAGTTCTTGCAGTTACCTGACCTGGGATTTTCTGTGTTCCTGTATGGTTCATCTCCACTCCCTAGATCACAGTTTGAGTCTATGCCACCAGTTTCTCTCTGAATTGTTTGAAAGGAAGAACTTGCTAAAGGTAGGCATTATCTTTTTAATTTTTAATTTTTGTTTTTATTGCTGATTAGAAAACAGACATGTTCACATTTCAAATGCCATTTGTTTTGTTCAATCAGATTTCTTCTTATAGTTGGGAGTTGACCACCTTTTTCTTTTTTGTTTTTGTTTTTGTGGTACTGGGGCTTGAACTCAGGGCCTACACCTTGAGCAACTCTGCCAACCCTTTTTTGTGGTGAGTTTTTTTTGAGATAGGACCTCTGAGACTATTTGCTCAGACTGGCTTCGAACAGTGATCCTCATGATCTCTGCCTCCTGAGTAACTAGGATTATAGGCATGAGCCACTGGCACCAGGCTGACAGCCTTTTTCTATAAAGGATCAAAAGGTAAATATATTAGACTTTTCAAGCAATACATTCTGTCACAACTACTCCAGCTACTGTCGAAAGCAGCTAGAGATATTACGTAAATGAATTAAACGTGGCTGTGTTTTAATAAAACTCTACTCACAAAAACAGGTGGCAGGCTGGATTTAGCCTATGGGCCCTAGTTCCCAGCTCTTACTAACTGTTGGAGTTTCTTTATACAAGCTAGCATTGAGCACCACACTATTGAGTTTATTCCAGCACTGCTGAGCACTTCGTGTGCATTATCACATGAAGCTGTCTCAAAAACTACCATGTGGATACTGCTACTCTCTTAAAATAGCTTGTGAACCTGAAGTTCATAGCGTCAGTGAGTTATCCAAGGTCCCATAGTGAGCAGCAGACCTATTTGAACCAAGGTCAGTATCTTACAAAGTTAACAAGCTGCGGGTTCTATCATTTTAGTTTGAATGTCTATAAGAAAAATTGCTGACAGAGCACTAAAACAGGCAGAAGCAATATGGGAAAATCACCCAAAATCCACACATTGTCCCCACCATAATTCCAGCTACATAAAGATTGTTTAAATGATCCATTTGGCTTTTAAGTGGCTGTTGAAGTGTTTCCAACCTTCCCATACCCACATTCAGTGCGTATCTGTTTTTTTAAAAATTGTGATAATCGGCTACCAATCATGAGTTATGAAGACAGAAAACTCAAATACATTAGGGCAACAGTAACATTTTTCAAATGGTCCAGTAGACATACGGATATGCTCATTTTCTACACAAGTGGGCCTTTTGGTTCTATGCTCCAGGGAGATTTAATTGTTTCGAAAAAATAATTGGAGCCATTATATCCATTTCTTTTTTTCCTTCTTTTTTTAGCAGTATGGGGGTTTGAACGCAGTCTCACATTTGCTAGGCAGGTGTTCTACCACTTGAGCCACTCCACCAGCCCTTATTTCTATTGTTTTTATTGTTATCATTA